TGTTGAGCAGTAAATTGTTAGCTGCGAACCATTTACAAAGTTTTTCTATAACAATGTTTGTCTTTAGTGTTAGTTCCGCTATGTCCTTTGCTCCAATTATAACATTTGTGTCATCTGCGAAGACAACCAGTTTCTCATTTGGCTGGGTTTCATTCATATAATTTAGTAAGTCGTTAGTAAAAACAATAAAAAGTATAGGACCTAGAATCGACCCTTGCGGCACACCACGTTTTACATATTTCATTTTGGATCTGTGTGTCACTTCATGAATATTCTCGTCAACGGTTTTGATTTCCACATACATTCGCCTATTTTGTAAATACGATTTCATGAGTTTTAATGTATTTCCTCTTAACCCATAATGTTCGAGTTTAATAAGCAATAAGTTGTGGTCTATGGTGTCAAAAGCAGAACTGAGATCAACAAATAGTCCCGCTACCTTTATTTTATCATTTAGTTTACTAACTATGTCATTTATTAAAGTATTAATGGCATCCGACGTCCCAACGCATTTATGTTATGAGTCCCATGTAATAGGGGGTGAGCCTATTGCCATATACCGCATTTGTAATTTTCAGTAGGTACTTACCATATTTTTTATTACATTGATCTTATTTTGATATACCTACTGTTGAACGTCATTTTTCACGTAGGATTATTTTAAAGTGAATTATGACGTGTTAATAATTAATTGTGACCTGGCTCTAAAAATGTTTTTTTAACAGTAGTCTGTATAAGTGACATAAAATGTTTTAACCTTACTTTTATTGAATAATTAACATGACGTCACTATCTGCATTTACAAAATACGCTGTAACCTGTCCATACATGATAAAATCTCAAAAACTACTAAATAAAATATTAATAGTTTTACAAAAGGTCAATGAACTCACATATACCTTATGAGGAAAGGGCTATAGTTGGAACACATGTCATTATGTCAAAAATTGTAAACTACCCTGTACACAATAGACGCATTAAAGCTATTTGATTAGAGGAACTTCGGACTTGTTTCTTACAACTTAAGATACATAATTATATTGCAAGTATCATCACTATCTCTTTGGCCGACTGGTCGCAAGTGCGATTGGCTGGCAAGGGGTCTTGGGTTCGATTTCCCTATTCAAACTTTTATTCTTTTCACACACGGAACTATTATTACAGAAATGCGATCAAAAATTGTATTAAGCCACACAAGTACAGACAAGTTCCTATTACGTCACAATACCGATCGTAAATGTAGGTAAGTACCTACGTGTGTAACGTTTGCGTAAAAAAACTTAAAATAAAATAAAAGAGAATGGAAAAGGAAAGGTATTTTTTAAAATAAAATTCGGAACGACAATTTGTAACTACTTCTCAACAAAACATAATTCAATGCCAGACAATATTGCCGGAATACCAAAACTTATTGTGTACATGCAACAAGTTTACTATATTTATAAATAGGCAGGAAAAATTTGCTTAAAATAAAGGTTTACACATGCTAATTTCATTATAACTATCGACATTATGAGACATAACAAATTACGCTTTCGTGTTTGAAAAGCATTAACTAAAAATGGGTTACATATTGAGAAAAGGTCTACTAGTTTCGAGCCACGGAGAGGTTCTTCCTCATGAGCGTGCGCGGTCGCGGCGATGTCGCGCAGCCTACTTTTTTTTTTTAATAGAACCTTGCCCCACACTAGGATTTTCTCCTGTGTCGTGGGTGCGTTTACAAACATACAAGTTCACATACACAATTACACCCAGACCCGAAACAACAATTTGTGGATCACACAAAGTGTTGCTCCGTGCGGGAATCGAACCCGCGACACGTTGCACGGCAGCCGGTTGCCCAGCCACCGCACCAACCGTGCAGTCAAATGACTTTACTCGCTAACAGTAGGCTGTGCGACATCGCCGCGACCGCGCACCCTGCCCATGAGAAAGAAAGAACCACTATGTAACGCTAATTTCAAATATGGAAGCGTGCTTCAATTAAGCATTGTCACTTAGTAGCATGCAAAATTAGCATATTTATTTCGGTCTTGCTTGCGAATTGACAGGCGTTCGATTTTTGAACGCCTTTTAGCATTCTATTTTAGAGCATGTGTGTCTATGTATTACTTCAGACCACAGAACATAAAATTATAATTATGTTCTGTGCTGCAGACCGTAATCTACCTTTGTTCCTAATTTCGTCCCTTCAGTTGTTTTGATGTGACTAAGTAACAAACATACACGCATAGTCAAATATTTTCTCATATATAATATTGGTTCAAGTAGATTTCAACCATCGGCCCTAGTTATAACGTAAAATTCAATGGTGCAACTAAATATCTGACAAAATTATATTTGCGTTTGGTAGAGTAGCTGTGTCTAGAGTTTGAGCCGTATAATTAAGTTTGTTTTTCGTGTATATACTTCTTAGGATATAAAGTACAGAGTTATGCCCAGGACATTAAAGTATAATCATACAAAGTTTCATCGATATACCTACATTAGAAAACACAAAATAATCTGATGCGATACCTACATATTTTCATTTTGTAAATGGATCAATGCATTGCAAAAGACTGTCATCTCATCAAAATTAATGTATATTTTAAGGTACACCGAAATCGACTTTTATAGTTAAGAAAAGAATATAAAAATGAGTGAAGGTATAAAAAAATATCACACCAAAGTCAAAAGCAAGTAGGTACACATACCAATAATAGGTTTTACCAGGAATTATATCCAAATGAATATACAATATTACCCGTAGCTTTATAGACCAGAAGATCAATAGATTTTAAAAAACTTCAAAAATATACCATATTGACTTACGTTTACGATTTCCAAAAATCTGATGTCCGTGGCCTATGAGGGGCAATGCACCAGGATAACACGGGGGCGCATTTGGGCTTCTGGGCCTTAACCAGAACCACAGTACAAACACAATGCAAAAGATTAAAATGGATGCGATCACCGACATGCTGAGGTTGACAACTATCTGCGCTCTCTTACAAGTACAGGCCTATTTATGTAGGGACAAAATAATAAGAAATTTAGTACCTGTATGTAACTGACAGGTCTTGTATATCATACCTACTTAATTAATATTTATTACTAGCTGTTCCTGGCGACTTCGTCTGCGTATCACAATGACTTCTAGCTAAGTATGGATTTATAATTAGTCTTTTCCGAAGTTAATTCCAATGGTGTGTAATAAATCTCTTCAGAATAGATTGAGTTATATTTATTGTAAAACGTAGTTCGTTATCGTGATTAAAAAAATAAACAATTCCACAGGGATTTTTCTCGTACAGTATCCATCCAGACTGCCTCGTTGTTCGAGTGGTCGCAAGTGCGACTGCCGGGCAAGGGGTCTCATTCATTTTCGTGATTTCAAATAAAATTAAGGTAAAAAACTTTTTAAAACAAGCATTAATTTAAATGCCCTAAAAAAAAAAAGTAAACGTTTGTACACTAACTTTTTTACTGTTAACTTATGACGTCATTTCAAAAACACATTTGACACAATTTATGTATTCTAAATATCTGCGTGTCGCGGGATCTCATTGCTCTTCTAGCATTATTCTCAGCAAGCCCTTTCATTTGATACCCAAATTATAGGAACGAATAAAAGAAAATTATCCGCCATCTTGGGTGTTCCGCCATGTTGGATTTAAAATGATGTCACACAAATACCTATGCATTGTCATCCAAATTGTATACGTGTATAAAAAGTTGAACTAAATTACTTTTAAATATTATCATCATCATAACATCAAGCCTTTTTATAATAACTATCGTGAGACATACTAAATTAACTTTAAATCGCGGGTTACTCCGGTACGGTACGGACGATTACGCTTCGTGGGACATTTAAACTCAATGCATGGCAGTATACAATTTACTACTGAAGAATCTTGTGATTGATGTTACTGGAGGCCCAAAAGGCCGGTAACGCACTTGTAACGCCTCTGGTGTTTTGGATGTCTACGGGCGGATTGCTTACAAAAAAACAGTAGGCGTTGCATACACCTCTACCAATACAAGATGTTCCTGAAGCCGACAATCAAATGGCACCACATGATCCAAAAGCCCGATACTTTCACGTGGTGTGGAAATTAGCTTTTTTCCTAAACGGCTCATAAAAATGAATTTTGCTGTGCTCTGGCGCCAAAAAATATATTTTAAAAAAACTGGCAAGATTTCATGCCATTTTTTTTTTTATTGTAAGAAATAGTGTGTAGTAGTATAATTTTGTAGTCAACGTTTATCTTCTAAAATACAGCACTCAATCTAAAGCACAGGAAAGGAGATACTTATTACAAAAAAAACTGTTTGGCCGCCATGTTTCAAAATTGACGGCGCGAGCTGCGCATCGGTGCGACGGTGCAAAATGGAAATCGGAAAGAGCACATCAAAATCTACAATACTGCCAATTTTCAAAACTTTCAGTAAACATTCCAGGCAACCTTCATATTTCCTCCTTAATGATCGAACTAATTCTCAAATAACATAAAATACAAACATTCAAAGAATTAATAAAAAAATCATACCAATAAAAATTACAGAAATAATTTTACTTTTTGAATATTTATTTTCGGTTATCGGACTACAGGTTAATGGCATTCTTGGAAGCAGAGTTCGTTGCAATCTTCTCTCTACACAAAATTTGTGATACTTCAAGTAAAATATTGAAATCAACAGATGATTAAGTGTTGGAGAGCCATATTTCGGCGAATGGGCCGGCTCGACCACAGTGATACCACGGTCTCACAGAAAACACATGTGAAACAAAGCTTGCATTGTATTTCATCAAGGCCCAATTAACCCCCCCCCCCCCTTCTCAATATCCCCAATGCCTGAATTTCCAACAATCTTCAAATTCCTAATCCCCAAAAGGCTGGTAACTCACTTGTAACGCCTCTGGTGTCCATGGGCGACGCCGATTAGTAGATAATGTAAAAAATACACAAATATGGTTTTAAATCTTCTCTTTAATTATTATATCTTTCTATTCCTTATTCTCTAGAAGTAATACTTATTAGATGTCCTGATACTGCTTTAAGCACTATATCATATTCGGATTCAAGTTTACTTATATCACTTGAAATATGATAGTTTCGCACGAGATACACAACTGTTAACTTCATCAGTGTCAGTGCGAACTGTTTACCTGTAAAAATAAAACACAAAACTTATAAATACAATCTGTAGAAAATACCGTACGGCATTAAGTCCACCATCGTATGATAGTACATGAAGTGTTCAATAAATAAAAAACTATTATAATTACGGTTATTTATTCTGTTAATGCTCATTTCTTTATTTCTTTTACTATTTCTTTCTAATTACCCCATCCCCAATCTACCCATTCCTGAATCCCCAACGATCCTCAAACTCCTGATCCCCAAAAGGCCGGTAACGCACTTGTAACGCCTCTAGTGTTCCAGGTGTCTATGAGCGACGCCGATTGCTTACCATCGGGTGATCCGTCAGCTCATTTACTGGCTTATGCCATAAAAAAAACTAGTCTCGGATCGATTGCAATTGTAACTACTCATCACAGTCCTTTTCCAAAATCAAAATACCTATTGTAGGCAAAATAGTCCAAACTTACCAATGCAGTTTCGTCTGCCGATCCCAAACGCACCAAATGCATTAGGGTTAGTTGGAAAGTTTGCGACATCAAACCACCGCTCTGGTTTGAACTCGTTTACATCGGGACCCCACATGGAATGGTGTGCGACCCCATATAAACTTAAAATGCAAGTGCTGCCTGCTCTCAATGTATAGTGTTCTGTAAAATACGGAATAATGGTTAAGTAATCAAATATAAATATACCTACCTTTCTGTGAAGGCAGACTCGAAACACAATAATAATTACCCCTACTCATCCCGCGGAAAATGAGAGCTGAATAAGGGATGAGACTTTTATTAGAAGCCAATCATAAAATTACATTGGCAAAGGGTGAAGGAGAACATCGTGACGACACCTAGGCTTATAATTTTTAATATAAGTTGGAAGTCCAAAACCCAGACTGCCTCGTTGGTCGAGTGGTCGCAATTGTGATTGCCGGGCAAGGGGTTTCAGGTTCGATTCCCGGGTCGGGCAAAGTATTACTGGGTTTTTTTTAATCTGAGCACGGAGTCTGGAGCTGTGCCCGGTATATAGCAATAGGCTCACCCCCTATTACATGGGACTCATAACATAAATAATAAAAAGTGGGTCTTACATTGTACAGTGGTATAATGTGCACCTGTGCCTACCCCTTCGAGGATAAAAGGCGTAATGTTATGTAATGTCCAAAACCCACAATGAGCAAGCGTAGTGATTAGCGCTCAAACCTCTCCTGAGCGATAAAAGGCCTTTGGTTAGCTGTGGCCACTTGTAGGCTGTTATTGTGAATCTACGGTTTTCAACTTGCCTGCTAAACCCACGTTTATATCCACATATTGTGCATGTTATGAAAAGGAGGTTCATAGTCCAACATCAGACTATCATGGAGTGATGATAATGAGAAAACCAACTTAAGGTACAATGTTGACACTTACTTAATTTAACATCTTTCTCAATTTTCCTTGCGACTCCAGGCAATGGCGAGTACAGGCGAAGTACTTCTTTAATCACCGCTTCTACATACACCAATCTCAAAAGATCATACTTTGAGATATCTTCGTTTTTGTTTGGCTGAACTTCTTGTATCCTGTAATTAATTAATTGTTATTGTTTATTGAAAACTAGCCACCCGCCCCTGCTTTGCACGGGTTCAATATTCATGTATTAGACATTTAAACCTTCCTTAAGAATCACTCTATCTATTGAAAAGAAACCGCATCAAAATCCATTGCATCGTTTTAAAGATCTAAGCATACATAGGGACAGATAGACGGCAAACAGCGACTTTGTTTTATACTATGTAGTGATTCATTTTTTTTTATTTATTTAAATAGGTTAGCCAACAATTATTACACTTTTCATTACTGTTAATAAAAGATATAACACATGTGCGAGTATAATAATCACTTATAGGCTAACACAGCATTCATTCATCTGTTTTGCTATAAGATGTAAATAATTTTTGTTATATGCAAAAAAATCGATACGATTTTATTATAATCTATATACCTCTATATAACTCAAGAACGGCAGAATAGATTTGGCTGAAAATTGGTAGAGAGGAAGCTCAGAGCCAGGAGACCGACGTAGGATACTTTTTAACCAATACTTTTTTTTTACTTTTTACCGATAATCACGAACGGGGACGGGAAAAAATGGGATTACGCGTACGAAGTCGCGGGCAGAAGCTAGTAGGTAATATAAATAACGATTCTAAACTGTTAAGTTTACAAGTAAATTTTTACATTTCACAACTACTACAGCGTGCGAAAGTTGAACACCAAGCTCGATAGATGGCGTTACGAGGCAAATTAAAAGTCGCTATGGTTTCGTTACCGGTCGCGATATACCTCCGCGGCCATTTTAGTTTATTTCATACGTAGGTGACGATTTAATTAAAAGCAGTTGGGAAATTTTTGAATAGTCAGTTGCATGCTTTACACTGACTTTATATTTCATAAATAATACATTTAACTATTGGTGGTTATATTATAAAAAATGATTAGATGGTCTGTTAATCAATTGAGTCTACATTCAACAAATAGTGTTTCTTGCGAATAACACTTATCATCATCAACAGCCTACAAATGCCCACTGCTGAGCAAAGCCTCTTCTCACACGGAGAAGGTTAGAGCATTAATCACCACGCTTGCTCAATGCGGGTTGGCGATTTCAAACTTATAATTAGAAATTATAAGTCCAGGTTTCCTCACAATGTTTTCCGTCACCGTTTGTCAGTGGTGTCTAAATAATCTTAGAAAGTACATATAACTCGGAAAAAGTCACATTGGTACTTGCCGTTGGTAGGTTTCGAACCCGCACCCTCATGCATGAGAAGCAGGCGTCTTAAACCTCCGAGCCACCACGACAGTTTAACACTTATCATTTAAGTTAATTTAATATTTGTATGATTTTTTTAATATCCCTGTGACGTGATCAGTGGCCAGTAATAGGGATGATGACGGGGTATATAAATTAAAATAATATTTAATCTGTCAGTTAGGAAATGAAAAAATGTTACACACGTATTTTTTCCTTTTGTCATATAACAAAACAATACATAATATACCTATAACGAATCAAGTTCAGGATTTCAATCAGTCTTTTTTTTAAGGGCGGAAAATCATCGAATGACTGCTCCCGCTTGGGTGAGGCGGAAGGGAGTGTCAGACTCTTACTGACTAAAAACCACCCCGTTCCTTCTCCTGCACGTCGAGCCGAAGCCCCGGTTACCCGTTAGGTTCTCCGCGACATTTCAATCAGTCTAGGAGCGTGAGATAACTACGTAATGTTTCAGTACAAAACGTACGTCACGCGCTATTTTAAATCAATATAATATCGTAGAAAGTACTTGTTTCCGTTATTAAATAAAAAATACATGTCTAATGTTAAAAAATAATCCACCAGACGGGCATTAAAATAAAAAATTAATCATCTTGGCTATCATTAAAAAAATATTTTAATAATTATGATTACTTCATAAAACACGACTCCTACCTTTGAACTTTTTTCGACCATAACAAAGGCTCGCTCATGCTTGTTACGCGACAATCGCCGTTATTGACATTTAATTGGACTGTACGATTGTTGCGGTGGTTGGGCAAATCGTCGCGGGTGCGATTTCCGCACGGAACAACACTTTGTGTGATCGACAAATTCTTGTTTCGGGTCTGGCCGTTATGTGTATGTGAACTTCTATGTTTGTAAACGCACCCACGACACAGGAGAAAATCCTAGTGTGGGGCACGTTAAAAAAACAAACAAACAATTAAATAATCAGTGAATGCAGTTATTTTTTTTTATTTATTATTCTGCGTTATTACTCAAGGCTATGAACGCGAGTACAAAACAAGGGGTTTTAGGTCGGAATTTCTGAATAAAATAAAGCATTTCGATTTTTGGTAATAGTACTAATAGAGCCCAAAGTCGTACTCAGAATATAAGCTCACTAATACCCATTTTTACCAAACTTTGCTAAATTTTAAGGAAGCTCTAGGAGTTATTTAAGTGCTATGTCATGCTAAGTAACTATTAGTTAAGAGATGGTTTTTTTTTATTAAGGGGGTTATAGCATCGAATGACTGCTCCCGCCTGGGTTCGGCGGAAGGGAGTGTCAGACTCTTGCTGACTGAAAACCAGCTCGTTTCTACTCCTGCACTTCGAGCCGGATCCCCGTTAACCCGTTAAGTTCTCCGTGGCTTCCCTATCGGCATCAGCCCTATTGGGCCCCATCAATCCAGACCACCACGCGGAACGCGATGCACTGTACTCTCGGGTAAGAGATGGTTTAGGAGTGCTTTTTCAAAAGGTAAGGCATTTAATTAGTCCGTCGTTTCCTATAATTAAATCTATAACTACCTGCGTAAAACTATTGAAGTTAATTCCTTTACCAACATCGAGTCGATCAGAGTTAGCTTCTTTGGCAACCAAAGAATTTACAAAATAAATCAACCTAACTTCAATAAATGTCAACAAAATTTTAAAATTACTCACTCTTTTAAAATCTTCTCTTGTACTTCTGGGTGTGATCCTATGGCTAACAGTACATAAATTAGGGTTTCGGAAGTTGTATCGTAGGCAGCCGCCACAAAGGTATCCAGGTGTTCTCGAATCTCTTCATCATTGAAGACATGATGCTCATCAACTAATTGTAGTATTTGATCTAGGGCTGGTTTGAATTTACCTGAAAAGGGACGACCAGTGTTCTGTGATTTATTAATATTATTTAGTTTCGTAAGATTATTTTCTAAATTTTCAATACAAGCACAGTATATGAAGATATATCTGGTGTTTGACTAGACAGAAACATAATTTTTTTGTTTTTTTTTCAGTCTTATTAATAAAGTTATTAAGTTACTTAGTTGAAATGTTGCTCCCTTTTCTCTTTCATATTTTTAATTCTAAAGAGAGATACAATTCACCTGTTTTCGCTTTGTCACATTGTGTAGATTCATTGTTGTTAAGCTTCAAATCCGATCTGCGTTTTACAATTACCTGTAAAATAATAAATAATTTGATATAAAACCTCAATTCTTCTATTATAAAATATCTATTCTTCTAAATTTCCTTTGTTTAATATACGTACAGCATCTATAATATTATTCATGATCTTCAGCAGATAGTCCTGTTTCTTCCTCAAAGAACTTCTATCGTAGATACAAGAGAGGTGCAGCCACACTTTCTGAGCTCTCTCACAGTAAACTTTAATCAAATCTTCTAATGCATCAGCGTACGCTTCGTCTATCATTGTCTGGTCTTTCGCTTCTAGTCCTAGCGATGTCCCTGCAAGAGACAGATTAACGTGTTTATTTATTATCATTTTTACCATCACCGTCGTATTGGTCAACAGGTTGCAAGTGTTACTGCCAACACCTTGGTTTTGTAACTCTTAGTCACGAAGGGTAGTTTTTTTTCGGTATTCACAATCCCTACAAGACTGGCAAGCACTTATAGCTATTTGGAGTCGCGGAGAACCTAACGGGTAACCGGGGCTCCGGCTCGACGTGCAGGAGAAGGAACGGGGTGGTTTTTAATCAGTAAGAGTCTGACACTCCCTTCCGCCTCACCCAGGCGGGAGCAGTCATTCGATGATTTCCCCCCCTTAAAAAAAAGCACTTATAGCTCCTCTAGTGTTCATAGTGTCCATAGGCATGTCGTTTGCTTACCATCAAGTGATCCGTATGCTCGCTTGCGGCCCAATATAATATCATAAAAAATCTGACAGCTCTTAGTAGTAGCAGTAAAAAGGTTTTATTGACTTTTGATGGCATAGGTGGCTTATAAACCAACGGCTGCGCAACGGATCGTTGTTTTGATTTTATTTTAAGTACAATCCACAACACAGTTGACCTGAAATTATTTGACCAACAAGGTAATGTAAGAGCTCTAAATACTTACGACTGACAATCTTCAGCGTATAATTTATCAAGTATTGTCGCACGTCGAATGGTCCTTTATCAACTAGGACATTTAAATTAGTGACTAACACCCGAGTCTGTGCATTCATTTCATCGACAAATGTATCCAGAACTTTCTGAGTGAAGGCCACATCTAGAAGTTTGCGATGATTTCTCCAAATTGATGCTGGAATAAAGGATGATAGATGATACATGATAGTAAAGTCAAAGTCAAATTCAAAGATCTTTATTCTGAGACAGTGGCTACAAAGGTTGTTCTAAAAATTAACACAAGGTTAACACAAGAACATTTCTGTAGTTAAGTATTATCGGGATCAAAGTTTATAATACTTATTAGAAACTAAATAATAATAATAATAATAATCTTTATTGATGATAAAATGACCAAAATACAAAATATTATCTTAATAAGCGATGTAGACCTTATACAGTTAGATGCCTGTACTAGGAAATAAAAAAATTAAAACTATTGTTTTCATTAATTTCCTTTAAAAGATTTGTATATAAAATGAAGCGTCTCCGACTTCGGCAACAATCTATGCATTAGCGGATGCATAGATTGTTGCCGAAGTCGTTGCAGTCGTTGCATGTCGTTGAAGAAACTTACCTTCAGAAGTGATCAATCCATTTTTGAAATATTCCTTTCCAAACTCATAAAAGTATGCTTTGTTCAAGCAGGTATTTGCAACGGTAAGAATTTCATCAGGGTCAGTTATAACTACAACAGAAAACGGTAAAATAATACAATAGTTTTCCACGTCGTCCCCAACACACTTCTATAACAAATATTTTTTAGACACACTGCTAAACATGGATGTGTTTCTTGATTTGTGGACCAGACGGACCTAAAGCGTTGTTAAAAAAATATATTTACCATAAACAGAGTGCGTTGCAAGCCAGACTTCAAGAACACCACCCTTCTCCAAAGAGTATTGAAATATTTTTTCTAAGTATTTCCATAGATCTGAAAAAAGAATATGTCTGAGTAATTCATAGCAATAAAACTTAACATAAAATATTATAATAAATTGTTTAAAGAGAGAGAAGAAAAGATTTAATTTTTTATTTATTTGAATTGAATTTACCCCGAAACTACCGGACCAATTTGAAATATTCTTATACAGTTAGAATCCTACATTATCGAAGATGAACATAGGCTATATTTGATAAGATAAAAAAGGGAACCGTGTGAAAATTTCAATAATCTCACCAAATGTGTGAAAAATCTACCAAAAAAACTTCTTATATTGCTTAAGCCTTTGACTAACAAGAAAACTGTTCTTAAGGACTAAAATAATAGTATTTAGCTGCATCAGAATCAGGGATTTTAAAGAAAAAATATGTATTCAATTAACTGAATACATTTTATTCATGGACTTTTTTTTTTTTTTAAGGGGGGAAAATCATCGAATGACTGCTCCCGCCTGGGTGAGGCGGAAGGGAGTGTCAGACTCTTACTGACTAAAAACCACCCCGTTCCTTCTCCTGCACGTCGAGCCGGAGCCCCGGTTACCCGTTAGGTTCTCCGCGACCTTATTCATGGACTAGCTTCTGCCCACGATTTCTCTCACGCTCTTTTAAAGCATTGAGGGCAGGTTTACAAAAGGTTGTTGGTGCCCGATGTTTTGCTGGTACAAAATATGATAGGTATTTTAGGGGTCTTGTAAATTACGAAATTCTTCTTTCAAGTTTCCATCCCCTGTTTTAGGGAAGTTCAAGGATGGAAAACCCGGAAATCGGAAATCGGAAAAACCCTAAAAACAACCCTTTTCTTTTTGCCACACAAACGTTTTCTGACTAAAACGTACAGTCAATTTGAGCTTTATTGTTATTGTATGTATAAAGTTTATATTGCAAGCACTCACTATTGCCTAAGCAATGTAGGTGTGTTCCTTCGTCAATTAGCGTTTTATTAACACTGTATAAAGTTGAAATTAAATATTTTTATGCAGAAATTAAATTCAGAAATATACCTATTGAGATAGTGTGTGTGTGTGTATATGTTGGAGCACAGAAATACATCGTTTGACACATTCTAAAATTGAATAGTTACAAAATATTTTAATGTCATCTGACATTTTTAACCGACAACAAAAAAGGAGGAGGTTCTCAATTCGACTGTGTGTACCTATATGTATATTTTTTTTTGACAAGTGAGTTTACAGAGCCAATCTTAGATGAATAGGTCATTGACTTTGACAGATAAATCCATGATTCCATGAATAATATAAAACATACTCAGATCATTGACAGACAAATTGATGAATCCATGAATAATATTTTTTCATAATTATATAATCTAAATCGTATTTCTTACACATTAAAAAAACTAATTACACATGGCTGAACACTAATTGGCGATGCAAAGATTATTCGCGCCCCTCTAGCGGCGAAATTTAGAAGTTGTCTAAGAACGACATTGCTTTCGAGTTGAGGTTAATGAGTTTTAACATAATCAAATGGATCACGATCACATACAGAAACCTGTTTATAATAAAAGCCGAAACACAAAATAATGTTGCGTTCATCAATGTAGGTAATACTTATGGAAATTCGGACATAAGTGTTACCTAATTGATTTCCATAACACAAAATTATGAATCAAGTAAATTTTCGTCCTATATGAAAAGAGGATAGATCAGCTGTAAAGCAATTAACTCTCTCAGATTTACTCAGCAGTGATATGTATTAATTTACTTTTACGAGTATACATTCAATTGTTGGCCTTAAATACTCCAACAAACAAGAAAATGTTATCTGTGGTAGACAGATTTATTTTAACAATGGTAAATGAAACAAAATATGTCATTTAGAGCCATTGGTGTTTTGTTTGGTATAAATAGGCAGACATATTATAATTATTTTATTAATATGTGCCCCATGCAGAGTAGAGTACTCAAGGTTGTTATTCTTTGGCCTGATACCGAAATAATGATAAGTGTGGGAGAGCCATGCTTCAGCACGAATGGGCCGGCTCGACCGGAGTGATACCACGGCCTCACAGAAAACCGACGTGAGGCAACGCTTGCGTTGTGTTTCGTCGTGTGAGTGAGGTTACCAGACGCCCAATTATTTTTTTTATTTTTTTCTTTTTTTTTTTAAAGACTTCATGCACATACTATTGTACAAGGTGGGCTTAATGCCTAGGGCATTCTCCTCCAGCCAGACCTTTGGGTGATGCAGAGACAAAAACAGTGGTCGATGCAAGAAGCAAGCGTATTTAAGACTCAACAGAAATGCATAAAAAAAAAGGATAGTATAGACTTACATAAAATAAATTCCTATATAAACTTACATGTATATGACATAACAATAAACCTACATAATTATATTACATATACTACTTAGACGTAACATAACTATACATAGTATATTGATAGTTACGACTCTGCCAACCTCTTCAAAAGTAGCTCCCGCACTCACACGCAATTACCCTCCCCTTCCCCAATCTCCCCAATCCCTGAATCCCAACGATCCTCAAACTCCTAATTCCCAAAAGGCCGGTAACGCACTTGTAACGCCTCTGGTGTTCCAGGTGTCCATGGGCGACGCCGATTGCTTTCTAACAGGTGATCCGTCTGCTGGTTTACCGGCTTATGCCATAAAAAAAATGATAAGTGGTTTTTAAATCCCTTTAAAAAGCATTCTTAACACATGCAAATAAGTATAAAATATGCAAAGTATGCAAGCTAGCGTGCAGCAAGCATATGACATGCAAGATACAGAAGGCTGGATTTCTCTCACGGCTCCAGCGCTGCGGCACGGGCGATTTTAAATTACACTCTAGGGGTATGACAAGTAAGATTACGTGGAGTCGGTTTTCCAGCAATTCGGTTCTGTCAGAAAATTTTGTTGCATTTAAACTTTTACTAGCGATTTAATTCTTCCAGAAACTATAGCAAATTCGTTTGGCCTACTACTGTTATGCTAATGCTAAAAACGATTAGTCTTTAAGATGATTATGCCAGCATAAAAATTATGCCCAAGTATTATTATGGCAAAAAAATATGCCAAAATCGTTATGCCTAAGTATATTCGGACAAAGAACATTATGTGAAAAGAAAGGATACCATTGATATCAAACATTATTTTACACGTGCAACAAGTTCACTATGTTAATGGATAGGCAGGAAAAACTTGCTTTACATAAAACATGCTAATTTCAAACCCGAATGCGTACTTCAATTAAGCATTTGTCACTTAGTAGAATTTGTCATGTGTGTCGAAATATTGTTTAACATTTTTTTTTGGCCTGCATACGATTCCACAAGGCGTTCGATTTTTAAACATTATTGAGGATGCTGCATTTTAGGATACTATTTAAGAGTAGGTATGTGTAACTGTACTTTAACATTTGTTACGTCTTAAAATCTCGCAAGTCATATTGAATGGGAGGGCTTAAATTTGTTTAAATTTGTTCACGACGTGTCATTTAATGTCGTGGTGGCCCGGAGGTTTAAGACGCCCGCTTCTCATGCACGAGGGTGCGGGTTCGAAACCTACCAACGGCAAGTACCAATGTGGCTTTTTCCGAGTTATATGTACTTTCTAAGATTATTCAGACACCACTGACAAACGGTGAAGGAAAACATCGTGAGGAAACCTGGGCTTATAATTTTTCAAGCGTGGTGATTAATGCTCAAACCTTCTCCGTGTGAGAAGAGGCTTTGCTCAGCAGTGGGCATTTATAGGCTGTTGATGATGATGTGTCATTTAACAAATGCATGTATCCTTTAACTGAAGCAGGCAAATGCATATTTGTTACTAGGTACACATGATGCTGTTGTTGACGACGACAAAGTTTTGATTGTTTCTACGTAAGATGCAAGCGTCTTACATTCGTTATTTGACGAAAGTGTCCGGTTATTTAAACAGTATCCCTAACACTCATGGTAGCTAAGGAGGAGGCGTGGCGCGTGAGGCAGCGAAGCGCTGCCTTCTCACAACCCAGCCATCGCGAAGGACACTCCAGGCATCGGGGATCGCGGGATGATCTCCGCCCTCCGTAAGTACGGGCCTGCGGACGGCGAGCACGGGTGACGGGTGTCTAGCCGCCCGACCATAACCAGACCCGTACGTACGCGTCGCGTTCCGCGCGCGCCTCAAAATGCCATCAGATCACCACGGATGGAGCTCAATAGGGCTGATGCCGATTCGGAGCTGCGGAGGACATAATGGAATGTCCCCGGCTTTCCATTAAGTCCTCCGCTCCGTTGCTCCGGCTCGAAGTGCCGAAGTAGAAATGGGGTGGTTTTATTCAGTCTGATACTCCCTCCCGGCTCCCTTAGGCGGGAGATTCAATGATTATCCCCCCTTAAAAAAATCCTTTACACTCACTTTAATCAGTTACGTTATAGGTCTTATGTGTATCTAATAGGAGTCAGATAATTTCTTTACGTATAATTACTTGATATATTCAAGTACTATTCTTAGTTAATTCTTAGTAATGCATGATTTTAAATCACCGATCTTTAACTCAAACAAAACAAAAGGAAAGTAAACAAAACTAAATAATAAGAAAAAATATGTATTATGATAATTTTGTGACGCATTAAAACTAAAACTTATTTACTAGGTTACCTTAATTATTACCTAAAATTATACATAAATACTGCGTCTAAAAATAATAAAAAAGTAAAATCTAAAGTAAAAGCAAAAAAATAATATTATTAGTACTGATAGGTTATCCACCCACTGATAGATTAGAAGTCGGCGCCATACATTAGAAAACAAAATAAATTATAATAATTTGATGATAGATTTACGCAGAATATATGTATTTTTAATCTTATATAATTACTCAACTTACTAATTTATTCAAAATCCTAAACGTGAGGACTTGTAATTGGCTCATTGTTAACTCCGCCTATTGTTATTTTTATCCATTTCAATAAGCTGTAAGTCCTCCATGAATTATAAATAAAATAAAAAAAATATGATTTTTTTTATTTTGATTTTTTTTATTTCAAAAATATGATTTTTTATTTTGGAAATGGTTTTATTTTCATAGAAATCAATTTTTTGTATTGGCTCCGTTATCGTTAAGAAAATAATTTATAAATGAGTGAAAGTACATATAACAAAATATCACACAAAGGTAACTACACGTATCAATAATAGGTAGTTGCTGTTTTATCAGAAATATATAGGTATCCAAATGAATACACAATATTACCCGTAACTTCAAAAAATATGCCATATTCACTTACGTTTACGATTTCCAAAAATCTGATGTCCGTGGCCTATGATTGGCAATGCACCAGGATAACACGGGGGCGCATTTGGGCTTCTGGGCCTTAACCAGAACCACAGTATAAACACAATGCAAAAGATTAAAATGGATGCGATCACCGACATGCTGAGGTTGACAACTATCTGCGCTCTCCTACAAGTACAGGCCTATTTATGTAGAGACGAAATAATAAGAAATTTTGTTCTAGTAACTGGTCTTGTATATCGTATACCTACTTAATTAATATTTATTACTAGTAATAGCTAGCAGACGAAGTCGTAAGGTCGTAAGGTTTTGCCCCGCGACTTCCTCTGTGTGAATCTGCGTCGTCTGCATTTGAATCAAATATGTAGGATTGGTGGTTTAAAAAAATAGATAGTCCCGGGATTTTGAGGCATAATTCCCGTCCTCGAGAAATTTCCGGGATAGAACCATCATACGTCCTTTTTAGTCCCACTGTCTGAAACTATCTTTGAACCGAATTTCAATTTAGTAGGTGCAGTGGTTTAAAAGATAGAGAGTCCCGGGATTTTAAAGAATAGTTCCCGCACCCAAGAGATTTCCGTGATAAAAATCTATCATACGTCCTTTCTCCGGCTTAAAACTATCGTTGTAAATTTAGAGAGTGTGTTTAACATATAGAGAGTCCCGAGATATAAGCACATAGTTTCCGTTATTCTGGGATGGGACATACATGAGTACGGGTGCGAAACCTACCGGCGGCAAAGTACCAATGTGATTATTTCCGTGTTATATGTACTTTCTAAGATTATTTAGACACCATCGACAAACGGTGAAGGAAAACATCGTAAGGAAACTTAGGCATATAATTTCTAATTCAGAGTTTGAAATCGCCAGCCCGCAATGAGCAAGCGTGGTGATTAATGCTCAAAGCTTCTCCGTGTGAGAAGAAGCCTTTATTCAGCAATGTTGATGTGATGTGATGGAACATTAATTTGTATTTTTTTATTTATTTATTTAACTTTATGCTACAAGACTACGTAGGCGGGCTTGGCTGTCTTCATTTAATTGACCCGGAAAATATGTTTCTACGTCACTGGTCTAGCACTATTTATCTATTCTAGATCTTCTTTTTACCTTTTCGAAAAAACCTGTTTTGCTATACATACGTCGTGATTGTGTTTCGATTACTGACATACAAATTTACATGCATCTATTACTCACACGCAGACGGAAAAAATATGATATAATATTTATATATTCATATTTTTTTCTCTGTGTGTGTTTCCGCAGATTAACGCTTTATTTCATGCGGGAATCGAACGCAATAGTTTTTTTTTGTGGCATAAGCCGGTAAAACAGCAAACGGATCACCTGATGGTAAGCAATCGGCGTCGCCCATGGACACCTGGAACACCAGAGGCGTTACAAGTGCGTTACCGGCCTTTTGGGGATAAGGAGTTTGAGGATCGTTGGGGATTCAGGGATTGGGGAGATTGGGGAAGGGGAGGGTATTTGGGCCTCCGGTAACTTCACTTACACGACAAAACACAACGCAAGAGTTGCTTCACGTCGGTTTTCGGTGGTATCACTCCGGTCGAGCCAGCCCATTCGTGACAAGTCAGTTGGCTCTTAAAATAATAATGGTAAAAATACACCCTCATCCTGATATTGTCCTCCTCCGCCATTCTTAATATGGGAGCTACTTTTAGTTATTTCGTATCGTTCGTACTTTAACACATTTGTACAAATGTTCTTATGCTAAAATGGGTGACTTTTAACGACATTTTTATTTAAGAGTTTATTTATTTATTTATTTATTCGAAGGACGGCCACATCACAAACATATAACATTCAAAATACACAAAAGTAACGAAATAAAGGTCTGATGCATGCGACAATAATGGCGTACATAGCATTGGCAATTCATAGGCTTAACAGTGGCTAAAAATAAAATCCAATTTGAGAATTATAGAAAAGAAAATAACAACAATAATCCACACCATACACACGTTAAAATGAGAATTTAACAAGTTCAATTTTCTATATAATTATCATATGTCTGATTAAAACAAAACAAATTAACAACAAAAGTTAATTAGTATCTATGCCATATTAAGTCTAATAATAATAATTTAATACAAATATAATATAATAAAATGTCAAATTATCGTCAGAAGAATTGGTTTAGGAATGGCCATAATAATAAACTACTACAAAATTGTTAAACGTTATTATTTAATCTCTGTTTAAGCTGTTTCAGTGTTACTAGTAAACACATACATACAAACTAGGCTTGAATAAAATTATCAGAATCTTTAACTTGACTTAGCCGGTTTAATTAATTAATTTCAATTTTCATACGTATGTATCATGAAGTCATTGGGGAAGGCCTATGTTCAGCAGTAGACGCCCTGTGGCTGATATGATGATGATGCTACGTATATACGGATACTGCATTTACTATTAATTTAATTATTCTATGCATATGCCATTCTTTAACTAGTATCATAATTAACTAAAGAACTGAAAAACTAACTTCATAAATTGCTAACCAACCCTCGTAATGATATGATACTTTACGTTTAAAATGGGAAAAATCTTAATTTTTATGGTCAAATTTATTAGTATGTACATATTTATTAAGTATCTGTTAGTTTTCTGAAAATAAGTAAAATAATGAATAAATTAATAAAAATACAGTGATATGAACATGAACAAAAAATTTACAAATCAAATGTAGGTACAATACGTGACAATAGATTTTAATAATTGCTTTAATGTGGAAAATATCTTAATTTTTATGATAAAATTGGTACAGCTAATCTATTTATTAGTGGTTAGTATTCTGAAAATAAGTGAAATAATAAATAAATTAAAATACTGTGACATGAACATGAATAAAAAATTCATAAATCAAATATAGGTACAATAGGTGACAATAGATTTTAATAATTGCTTTAAATAATTTCTACACTTGGGACCAAAGAAACGGAGCTACCATCGATTTTTCTTTTTCATTTCTTGATAAATATTTTCTGATAATAATAATAAAGCCTCATTTTATTCCTTAATAATCGATTTACATAGTTTTTTTTTTTACAGTATCGAATTTATATAAATTTGTAGTACCAATTTAAAATTTTTAGTTTAAAGTTTAGAGAAAAAATATACAACACAAAATTTATAAATAAGTAGTTGATTTTCATGCAAATATTTTCTGATACTAGTACTTAATTAATAGGGTAGTATCCTAAATTTTTTTTTAATTGTCACACTTTTTTCTTCACAAAATTAAATACTTTCGACGACATATTGATTTAAAATATCGTGTGACATCACGATTTACTACATTTTATAGAGCAGCGTGACGTAATGACCTTCTATTTCTAAACTAACTCCGTTTTATCTAAGTATTGTTTTCCTATCCGAGAAAATAGTCGCGGAGAACCTAACGGGTTACCGGGGCTCCGGCTCGACGTGCAGGAGAAGGAACGGGGTGGTCTTTAGTCAGTAAAAGTCTGACACTCCCTCCCGCCTCACCCAGGCGGGAGCAGTCACTAAATGAATTTTCCCCCTTTAAAAAAGTCCGAGAAAATAAAAAATATGTGTCTCATATTTTTTCATTATCTTACTGACGGAATAATTTCATTTTTAATTTTCATACACTGTCTAATATCCTATTCGTAACGCATGTCATATAAAAGACAATTTAGTCACCTTTAAGCCTTTGATTGCCGACAAAAAACTGCTGAAGGCAAATCCTCCGCTAACGGAGGTCACCGGTGACCTACGCAGCGGTTGACGTGTTAAAATGAGAGCGTTGTGTTGTAAAAGAAATATTTTTTAAAAGATGGTTCGATAAAGTGAAAACCAACGCTAGTCACTCCGTTTCTTCGCTCCTAATTGTAGTACAAAATATTTTTCACAATAATCTTGCAAACTACGATAACATACTGGACTATTTTTCATTAAGTTCTTGATGATAGTGTTAAAAGGTGCCCTGACACTGGTTTTAGTACGACATCAAATTCTGACACAAGATCTTCGATGTTACTATTAATGCGGTACCGACGAAGCAGATGTGCAAGCGTCGTCTTCATCACCATCATACTGTATTGTTTACCTGTAGGTTTAAATAAGATTTGATTATCATACAATTTTATATTTCCTATACAGTCACACGATCATTGTAAATACTTATAACGATCTCACATGTTCGTTACATTAAAAGTTAAACTAGATTTTATTACAATGTTTTAAAGTCTTAAATAGAATGCAACAGAATAATCTAACATAAAGGCTAGCACTAGCAATGCACTTGCAACTATGGTGTAGCCGGTTTCAATGGGTGGTGCTGATTGCTTACCATATTCGGTTCGCCAATACTTTATAAAAAAAGAAAAATCACAATCAGGAATTCAAATACATTACCTATACAATATCGCTTGCCAATACCAAATGGTGAGTAAACATTAGGATGATCTGGTACGGTTGCAGAATTAAGCCATCTCTCTGGTTTGAACTCCTTGACATCTGAACCCCACATCGGGTGACAATGGAGACCGTAAATACCCATAAAGCATGTAGTCCCAGCTTTTAATGTATAGTTCTCTGAAATCATCATAATTGCAACTAAATAAAAGTATGAAATGAAAGCTTGAACAATCATCTGTGCTAAACACTGCAAATCCCAAACAAAATAGGTAAATCATTCATGTTTTACTATTTTAATTTGATTTAATAATTTATGTCGCTAACAGAACGCAGATGCAATCCATCAAACCACAACAGTTTTTCTTTGAAACTGTTCCCAAATTTGTAGAAGGATTTTCTTTAGAAGGACTTTCCGTCCGTCCGTCCGTCCGTCCGTCGTTTCATCAAACGACTTTCACAAATATTTCTTTTTTTGTCTAATTAACTTTTTTAATCCATAAACTTGATCTTTTTAATTGCAATAAACCTTTTAGTCTATATCCTAAAATCATACTCACTCAATTTAACATTAATGTCAATTTTTCTACCAGTCCAAGGAACTACTGGATACAGCCTTAATGTTTCTTTGATTACTGCTTCTAAGTAAACAAGTTTCGTTAATTCTTCTTTACCAACATCTCTGTCAGCATTCTCTAATACTTCTTGTATTCTAAAAATGAATTGAAACATTTAATCAGAGAATAATATTTGGTTTACCTCTGAAGTTGCAATTACGTTTTACCTTACGTTGACAAAAGTTTAAATGAACATTCATATAGCCTTAACAAGGACAGCTGCGGCACGGCGATTTTTGCAGCAAAAATCGGCGCGCGGCGCTTACAGCTTTTTATATTGAAGTTATGAAGTACGACATACGATTTAAAGGTCATAGTTAAATGACAAGTTAATTACAGGGTTGGAGTCGTGCCGGAGCCGTACTTGTTAGGTATGCTGATGACCAGATGACCTTTATACTTTATCTAGTCTGTACCATTAGTATGATGCTCCATGACTACTGTTTTAGGCATTTCATGCTCTGGTTGCCAGCAATAGAAGCATCTAAAGGATCTAAGTCAAATAGTTATGGAATGAATTTGAAGTCTTAAATTCAACACCATTGTAGTGTTCTTGGACTTTCTGATTTCCAATTCTCGAATCCGATAATTAATAAAATTAGAGACACTTACTCTTCCACAATCTTCTCTTGGACATCTTTGTAAGACCCGATACAAATCATGATGTAAGTCAGAGCTGTAGAAGTGGTATCATATGAAGCTGCTACAAAAGTATCCAAGTGCTCTCTAATCTCGTCGTCTGTGAACGCATCCTTTTCATCAGCTAAATGTAACATCAGGTCTAGTATGGGTTTGAATTTACCTGTAATTATTTAAACACAATTATTTTAAATTCACAGACTTGAAGACGAAGCGTGGGCAAGCCCTTTGATGGATAGGCCTCCCGCTAGGTGGGCCTCGTCAGAAATCTGGGGAGACAGTGGATGGAAGTGGCGAAGTTGTCTTTTGACATAGACGTCTATGGGGGAGGCTTTTGTCCAGTAGTAGATGTCATCTTCTGGCTGTTGATGATGATGATGATGAAGGCATTGTAAAGCTTTTCCTTGTTTTTTTTCATAATTTGGTCACAAAGGTCTTTCAAGCTGAAATGTGCCTAAAATTAAAGGTTGATTTCTAAGAAAATCTTCAAAAAGAGAGCGTACTCCTTTTTAATAAATGATTATTCGTAACTTCTTTGGTGTTGAAGATAACTGTATGGCTTACCATCAGGTGATCAGTAAAAAATATACCTTATAAATACCTTATAAATATACCAAAATATACCTTATGTACTCTAAAATCGATTTACCTGGTCTTGTTGTGTCATTATCATCAGTTGAACTCTTTGTCTTCAAATCCATTTTACGTTTTCGAATCACCTAAAAATAAACTATTTTATAATTATGGTGGTTAAGTATAATATACAACTAATAATGTGGTGTATAACGGGAGCAACGAGCTGCTATGCAACATCTCACCGCCGATTTGATTCCTACACGAGCGATGTTTTGGACAAATGTAATCAAGGTATTATAAAAGAAAATAGAAGAGTTTTAACAATAACATCAATAGTATTTAATAAAGAAAATAAAATAATAGCAAGTACACATAATAAGGTAATGAAATTAAAGACCTATTAAAAGAAATAGTTAAAAATAATTGGTATAGATGTTTACACCAAGATGTTGTTATGTTCAGTAGAGATCAGAAGAAATCAAAGTAATCTGACAAATGCATATTTAACGGATGAGAAGGTAGCTTTGAGGCCTTGATATAACTCTGATCGAGCCCGAAGATTAGCGCAATTAACTAAACAAACGAAGAAACTCTTCAGCTTTATATGTTATTTAAAAAAGTATATGTCAATGATTTATTTATTATTTTTAATGGGCCGACGACGTTGACCCCTATCTCGCCTGGTGGTAAACGATGATGCAGAGATTTTTTTTTAAATCCCTGTAGTACTTTGCCCGACCCGGGAATCAAATCATTGACCCCTACCCGGCAGTAAGACTTGCGACCACTCGGCTAGCGATGCAATCAGGCGTTTTTAAATATAAATAATTATAAAAAATGAATATTATACATACAGGATTAATATACCCATTCAGCTTTGTTTTTAATTGAGCTTGTTTTCGTTTTAAAGCTGATATATTGAACACGAAGGAGAAATGCAGCCACAGTTTTTGAGATCGTTCACAGTATGAATTTAACATGGAGTGAAATGCTTCGGCGTAGTCGTTGTCTATCATTTTCTGGTCTTTAGTATCTAATCCTAGTGATGTGCCTGCAAAAATAAACGATTTTCCATTACGTGCTGTATATACTTAATAGTTATCTTACGCTTAAGAAATATTAATTTGATAATTACTGGCTTCTGCTAGAGGTTTTGCCCACATTCCCATGGGTAAAAAAAAAAAATATTTTGATGTCCGTCTGGTAGATTATTTTAAATCATTAGACACGTATTTTTTATTCTCATCCGTTATATTGATTTGAAATAATAGCCCCGATCCCCGATCGATATTTGCGTGGTACTGGTAGGCGGCGTCACCGACTACTTGCTTGTCCGCCGAGCTGGCGGTCTCCCCATGCTGGTAACTGTCCAACGGGCCGGGCGATTGCTATGATCAATGATCTTTTACAAAGCAATCCTGATGCAGACCTTTTTTTCGATGGTGTTAGTGCAATGTCCAGATACATTTTGACTTATCTCAATGACTCTTAACACTTAATTTTGGAGTAAATAGGTTGTTATTGAATTGTTTGTCGGTTTTTATTGTTTGGTTGATTTTTTATTATTTTATTACTTAAATATTTAACTGTATTTGATCTCATTATTGTTCCTAATTTTAGTTTTAATGTAATATTTTAATTGTGAATTTAGTGACATGTAGACGATTTGGTAGATATAGGTAATACTGTTAGTCTATATTGTTGTAATTATAAATAAATAAATAAATAAAAAAAATGTCGCGTGACGTCACTTCTATGTACATTTTATACGTAGAAATGACGTTTTAGCTCAAACTCCTAGCCAAAACTTTGATTCGTTTTATCTAAGTATTGTTTTATTATACGACAAAACAAAAAAATACGTGTCTAATATTTTTCATTACCTAACTTACGGACTAATTATATTTTTAATTTTCATACTCTGTCATCATCCTTATTTTAATAAAATCATGCACGCATGGCAAGCGTTTAAAATTACACACAGGGTGTAAATGGAATGCTTCCAAAAAACGCCAATAGGTTATGATAAAAAACAAGTTTTGTTTTAATAAAACACAGGAATTACATATTTCCTTTCTGTAGTAATAGTAGCAATCAACTGCTCAATGTTGCATGAAAAACACGAAAACAAAAACGATTAAAAAATTAAAATTTTGTCTTTTGTCATCGTTTCGCAAGCGTTCTATTACCACCCTGTATACTTCACTACACATATGAACAATCTGAATAAAATGCATGTAGTTGTAAGCACGCATTATTAAAACGCGCGCTCAACGTTTGCCATGTGAACATAGGCTTATTTGATTTTTATTAGATAGGTACTCACGGCTAACTGTTTTTAGGGTGAATTCAATGAAATGGTTCCGTACATCAAACGGTTCCTTCCCAACCTTCTCTTCTAGATCAGAGACTAGACTTCGTGCTTGTATATTTATTTCATTCATAAAAGTATTCAGAACTTGCTGGTTGAATGCTGGATTCAAGAGTTTTCGATGACTTTTCCACGTAACCGCTGAAATTGTATTTTTACACTACATACCTCTAGAATATTTTGGCGCCCATTTGTAGAGACTTTATAAGTAACATGTCACGTTCTTTTTAAGGGGGGAAAATCATCGTAATACTTCTCCCGCCTGGGTGAGGCGGAAGGGGGTCTCCGACTCTTACTGACTAAAAACCACCCCGTTCCTACTCCTGCACTTCGAGCCGGAGCCCCGGTAATACGTTAGGTTTTCCGCGGCTCTGAATCGGTATCAGCCCTATTGGACCCATCCGTGGTGGTCTGATGGCTTTTTGATGGCGCGATGCGCCGCACGCTCAGGTCTGGTTCTGATCGGGCGGCGAGCCACCCATGCTCGCCGTCCGCAGGCCCGCGTTTACAGCGGCCGGAGAGTTTTGTAGGTACGTCATACGCCATAATGAACTTAGCTATCATCATTATTATCGACCATAGTTTATAACAGGCCACTGCTGATCAAAAACCTCTTCTTGCACAGAGAAGGTTTAAGCATTAACTCCTGGTATACGTAACGTATATGGAACATAGATATACGCGAGACACAAACAGGTAAGAGGTTAATCACTACGATTGCTCAATATGATTTGACGAGACGAGTGCTCAAGACGAGTTAGCGAATTCGAACTTATAATTAGAAATTATAAGCTAAAGTTTCCTCGTGATGTTTTTATAATTTCTATATTTCTAACTTATTATAATCACGATCCTTATTACACAATAAGAGAATAAGAAAATAATTCGTATGAATGTTTTTGCTTACCATCTGCAGTAATGAGACCATTATTCAAGAAATCCTTTGCAAAATCATAAAAGTATGATTTGGTTAAACATGCGTTAGCTACGGTTCCTATATCATCAGGGTCGGTGACAACTGCAATCAAAAGTAGGCATTTTAAATAATATTAATATATTTATTATTTATTTACACACACAACAGAAAGGAGAACACATGTATAAAAACGAAGTATATAGGGCCCACATATTCCAACTGGAATTTCTTCCTGTGGCAGGAAAAGAAATAACGACACTAAAACATAGTGTGTCACACAAATAAGGTAATCTTTTTTAAAAATACCTCTTACTATGTTATGAAGTCCTAGTACCCACTGTTAGATTTTAAATACAGAAATTGTTTATACGTTCTAATGATAAATATTTTCTATGTGAAGACACTGGCCCTTGTAATACAATGTAAACTAGTTCAAGGGTCAGGGAATACTGCTTATGTGTGTTAATTTTTTGTCTATAAAGAATTATTTATTTAATTTTTTTTACAAAGCGTTGTGCGGTAACGTTTAAAAATATAAAAGTCCCTGTATTAAGTACATTTTATGAAAAATGTTTGTTGCAACCTATATATACAAGAATAGTGCTTTTACTTGTATCCTTCAGCGAGTTGATGACATCAAAAATAGGTAAAAAAAAGAAAAAGGCGCTAACTTACGAGTTTTTTTACCTTATTTTTTTTTTAAGGGGGAAAATCATCGAATGGCTGCTCTCGCCTGGGTGAGGCGGAAGGGAGTGTCAGACTCTTACTGACTAAAAACCACCCCGTTCCTTCTCCTGCACGTCGAGCCGGAGCCCCGGTTACCCGTTAGGTTCTCCGCGACATTAGGTTCTCCGCGACTTTTTACCCTATTACCCATGAGTTGACGAATAAGACAGCAAAACAACTTAAGACATTTCAAATTGAATAACTAAAAATAACAATCTAAATGTCATTCATCGTTTTAAAATTTTAAGACACACAAAGTAATATATCAAACAAATATCTATCTGTACAATATCCGCATATTTTTTAAACGACCAAACTTGCATCATTGTAGTTATTATTACATTTTGTATAGCTTTGTTTGATTTCCATTTACTTACTCGCTCGTTGCTACTGAATGCCTCGTTGGCCGAGTGGTCGCAAGTGCGTCTGTCGGGCAAGGGGTTCGATTCCCGCGTCGAGCAAATTATTTCTGGGTTTTTAAAAATCTCAGTAGTAGCACCGAGTCTGGAAATGTGCCCGGTATATGGCAATAGGCTCACCCCCTATTACATGGGACTCATAACATAAATAGTGAAAAGTAGGTGTTACTGTACAATGCCACTGTACAATTACAGTGGCATTAAGTGCCGAAATGTGTACTTCTGCCTACCCCTTCGGGGATAAAAGGCGTGATGTATGTTATATCATTTACTTACCTTCAAATCTTCAAGAAAAGAGCGTACTCCTTTTTAAAAGGCCTTCAACGCATCTGTGACGCCTCTGGTGTTGTGAGTGTCCATGGGCGGCACTGATCGCTTACCATCAGGTGATCCGTCTGCCACTTATTCCATAAAAAAAACTTACCGTAAAACGTGTGAGGACCCAACCAGAACTCGATAACGCCGCCATGCCTCAATGAATAATCATATATATATTTTAAAAATATCCACAAATCTGTAATATAAATATTGTTATTAGATTTTTTCTAAAAAACAGGTACTCAATTCAAAATATGGTGGGTATGGTCATGGTCTTTGTTTACATTTATAATCAATGCTGCTCATAGAATTTTGGAACTTTAACGTACAATTTAAAGATTATTGGATAGTGTATCTAATGTTTAATATAAAGTATTTATATCCGTATTTACAATGTACCTCATGCTTGTAATGAGTTGTCCTTTGTAATATTGTTTGTGTGGTGTAGGTACATGAAATCGTTACTAATATTATAAATCGAAAAGTGAGTTTGTTTGTTTGTTCCGGTTTCATGCCGTAACTACTAACCCGATTGCTTTTAATTTTTGCAGACGTAAAGTCAGAAGTCTGGATTAAAATAATAGGGTACTTTTTATACCGGAAAAATTTTATATTCCCGAGGGAAAACAAAAGTATTGGTATAGATGGCGCTGTATGTATTGTTATATGTCACATAGGCTACTTTTTATCCTTTTGTGACGCGAGCGAAGCCGCGGGTAAAAGCTAGTGATAAATAAAATAAATAGAAGAAAAGGAAAATAAATAAATATGTACAACTTAAAAGACACTAAAACTAATGAAGAATTAAAAGAAAAGAAAACTAAAAATGACTATTTACACAACATAAAAAATTCGTCCGCATCAACGTCAATTGGGAATGACGTCAATGTTTAATTGCATTGTTAATTTTCTGTACTTATTACTTTTTATTTATTACTAGCTTTTACCTGCGGCTTCGCTCGCGTTACAAAAGGATTAAAAGTAGTCTATGTGACATATACCAATACACACACCGCCATCTATACCAATACTTTTGTTTGCCCTCGGGAATATAAATTTTTTTCCGCGATAAAAAGTACCCTATTATTTAATCCGGACTTCTAACTTTACGTCTGCAAAAATTCAAAGCAATCGGTTTAGTAGTTACGACGTGAAAGCGGAACAAACAAACAAACTCACTTTCCGATATACAATATTAGTAAGGATGAATAATTGTTAATGTGTATTAGTCGTTGTATGTCATGTTGTGCGGAAGCATGGTCTGCCATTTATGTTTTATGTTGTTGCTCTGTTGTGTATTACTGTGCTTCTGTTTTATGTACCTACCTATTGAATCTAAAATATAAAATTCTCGTGTCACAGTTTTCGTTGCCATACTCCTCCGAAACGGCTTAACCGATTTTGATAATAAAAATTTTGTGTGCTTATTCGGTATCAATGAGAATCGGCCAACATCTATTTTATTTTTCATCCCCCTAAATGTTAGGGGTTGTCCACTCCTATGTTTTTTTTAGACAAAAATTTTAATTTCTATTTTTTTATGATACAACATACAAAAATACATACAATCCTCAATTTTCACCCTTCTATAAAATTATTTATATGGCAAAACAACGTTTGCCGAGTCAGCTAGTAAATAAATAAATAAATTATGGAAATGGGTAAATTTTAATAAACACTGCTGAGATTAGTCTCTAGAAAGATCTCTAGTCAAAAGATTGTTCTGAAAAATGTAAAAAAACATGTGTTTTGTTGAATAGACAAATTGTTATCTGCTATCTTAAATCTACCGAATGATCCACGTAAAAATTTAAAAAGGTTCTAGCCACTTACGTTTACGATTCCCAAATAGTTGATGAGCATGTCCAATTAAAGGAAGCGATCCAGGTAATATGGGGGGTGAATGAGGACGTGGTCTTAACCAGGACCACAGAATATACAAAGTGGCACAAAACGCTAGTAAAACTAACACAGACATCCTGAAGCTGAGACCTATCTGCGGTTTACATTGTATACAACATCCTTTTATCATGGAATTCTCTCATTCATTCAGTAATTTTCTAAAGTATAATCTCAATTAGTCAAGGGCGACCTTAAGGGGCCTGAATACAACCATTAATAGTTAATAGATCTTGCTTGATTAAGATAATAACGTTTTAATTCCTAATTAAGTAGGCGATAGCAAGTATGTTATTCGCACGTGTTAACTTTAATCCGCATGGCAACACCTTTTATTATCTCTAAAAGAAAATAGTTTCTAGGTGGTAATGGACGGAATATTTTTTTAGCATTCATTGTTCGAGCACTTAGATACAGCTGCGTTAATCCATGATCTAGTTATCATTGATCAATTAGTTGCGTAAGCTTTGTAGATGAAACATCATTTCTTTTTATATTATAACTTTCGCGAGACATAGTTAATTTATTATTATGTTTTTTCGGCTTACAAGCGTAACTGTTTGACGAGGAACTCGACTTGTTTCGATAGAGACGGACTCGTAGCAGTGCGACATTCGCCGCGTCGCGTCTGGTGGAATGATGCTCATGAATGGGTACGGTCCGATTACGATGAAACTTGGTATGATAATACTTGAATATCCTGGGCACAATACTTTTTATCCCGAAAAAGTATATACACGAAAAACCTTCTTGTTTGAGCGGCTTAATCAATAGACACAGTTACTGTACTAAACGCAAATATAAGTTGGTCGAATGTTAAGCTGCCGTAACTGTAGGGGCGATGCAACCGATGTTAGAAAATATCTGTGTTTCTGTGTATGTTTGTTACTCAGTCACATCAAAATGGCTCAAGGGACTAGGATAAAACTTGGAACAGAGCTAGATTATGGTCTGAAGTAACACATAGGCTACTTTTTACCTCTGGGAACGCAATTCATTACGCGAAGCAGCTAGAAAAAGGCACTTTTTAAGGGGTGAAAATCATCGAATGACTTCTCCCGCCTAGGTGAAGGGGGAGGGATTGCCAGACTCTTACTGACTAAAAACCACCCCATTCCTACTCTTGTCCTTCCAGCCGGAGCCCCCACAACTCGTTAAGTACTCCGCGTCTCCGTATCGGCATCAGCCATATTGGGCCCCATCCATGGTGGTCTGATGGCTCTTTGAGGTGGACATCGTCCTGAGATCCCCGACGCCCGGAGTGTCCTTCGCGACAGCTGGGTTGTGAGGAGGCAGGACTGCGCGGCCTCACGCACCCCGCGTCCTCCTTAGCTAGCATGACTGCTTTGCAAGGAGGAGACGGAATCCCAGTCCTCTTCGCTCCGTATCATGACCCGGACTAGGGCCAGACGCGAGAGGACACCGACGTCAGAATGGGGGTATACCGTGTGTTCCACCATGCTACCAGACACAGGTATGTACCTCCCGAAGCTTCCATGTTCGGTGAGGACCTGCGTCAGACGGTAGGTGAGGACGCCATAGCGTCTCAAGCCACTCCTCAAAGAGGAGACTTACCGCTGCAATGGCAGCTTACTAATAATTATGAGCCGATGACGGTCCGAAACCTATCAATGGTAAGTAACAATGTGACTTTTCCGAGTTATATATACTTTCTAAGATTATTTAGACACCACTGACAAACGGTGAAGGAAATCCTCGTGAGGAAACCCGGGTTTATAGTTTCTAGTTATAAGTTGGAAATCGCCAACCCGCATTGAGCAAGCATAGTCATTACGGCTCAAACCTTCACCGTGTGAGAAGAGGCCTTTGGTCAGCCGTGGCCACATAAAGGCTGTTGATGTGATGTGATAGGTAGTAATACATATGTATCAAGTTTATGGGAATTCTTTATACATCGGCACATCGAAATGTATTACAAATGAGATCATTATGTATAATGATCTCATTTATAAGGATGTTTGTAATTCACGCTAACCATGATATGAATCATCATTTTTTTTTTATATGTTCTGTGGTAGGGATAATTCTTTCACTTTTGTACAATATATTTTTTAATCCCACTACCCCTATTTATCTAAAAGATCGTTTTACGTAGATTGCCGACACATATTCAAAGTTTTTGAGATCATCGGAGAGTCTGAAATTAAGTATTTGTTTGTATTCTACTTTCTTTTTCGACAAATCCTTTACAGCTCGGTTGTGGAATGTTGTATTGATTACAGTAAGGCGAGCTCAAACCATATCGCAATTTAATAAACTCGTTAAATAAAATTTCCTCACTTTATAATTTTATTTCATATCTTAGCCACACGCAAGTGTGGGAGAGCCATGCTTGGGCTCGAATGGGCAGGCTCGACCGGAGTAATACCACGGCCTCACAGAAAACCGACGTGAAACAACGCTTATTGTGTTTCGTCGTTTGAGTGACGTTACCGGAGGCCCAATTACGCCCCCCCCCCTCCCAGTCTCCCCAATTCCCGAATCCTCCACAATCCTCAAATTCCCAATTCCCAAAAGGTCGGTAACGCACTTGAAACGCCTCGGTGTTACAGGTGTCCATGGGCGGCGACGATTGCTTACCATCAGGTGATCCGTCTGCTCGTTTACCGGATTATACCATTAAAAAAAACACACACACACACACACACTATTATGTAATTTATGTATCATATTGTATGTTATATATTTTTTATTTTCGAGTGATATTAGTATTCTTGTATAGTATGTAAATTACCACCGCTTTCTACTCAGATCATCTGCTCCAGCCGAAGCCTCCTGCATCCCTGGCCCACTTGCGACTTACGAATAGTTTCTTACCCTCCCAGCAGGACCATTGCTCTCGCGACTCCACTCTGGACGGCCAATGAAGGCAAGCCAGAGGTGGGAGACCTGTTCCTTTTCATCGTTCACTCCAGCCAGCCAATTAAGGAAAGCCGGAGAATAAGGAAGGGTGAGTTTTCCCTGGAGCACTCGGGATGATGGTAGCTCGCGGGGTCGCTTATGTCCGTCACCTCACCTCAAGGCAAAAGCCCGCAGCTTTTATTATTATAATTATTATACATAAATGTTTGTGGCCGTGCTTGTGAATTTTAAGTACTTGGTATTAATTATACCAATATACATATCAAGTTTACTAATGTATTAGTTTACTAAATATCAAGTTCCTAAAGACGTATATGACTGGTTTACATTATGGACATTACGTGCATAGACAAAATTAATTAGGGCCAATTTTTCCAACGCTTGATAAATTTTAATTGAGGAATATTTTCGACATTTGACAATACAATTCTTCCATACTAAAAACTGTCAAATGTACATTTTTTAGGGATCCGTATTTTGTGTTAAATTCCTAATTAGCGTGTGGCCTAAGGGTTGAGTGAAACACGGTGTTCGGATACCGGATATATTTCGCGTAAACCCAAAAGAGAACCATTCACTCGGACCAGTGCGCAGTAAATGTCCGTCCCTTGTATGCCTCACGCTCTCATACATTTTTGCTTGCCTTGCACTCCGTCATACATACGGATTAAAGGAGTCCCTACAATTTAATTCCACAGTTAAGAATTAACTGATGGTTGAAAAATTAGCCCTTAGTAAAGGAAGACAAAAAACTGTCTTTGAATTGATAATATACTTCAACACACATATTTTGAACAGTTGTATTAAGACCGTAGTTTGTGACACTTACAAAGTGTTACGGCAGTTTCAGATTAGTTTATTATTGTACTGTATACGGTCGTCTCAGCAAACACGCTTACACGTGCTTTAAAAAACTAGATTGACGCAACAAGTCGTACTAAGTGACCTCTTAAATACTTTTTCTTCCCGTCTGTCATTTTAAGGTCGTCTACACTAATATTATAAAGAGGAAAGAATAATCAATAAAATTTGATTGTTTGTTTGAATTGAAAATGGCTACTAAATTAACGGACCGATTAGAAAAACTATTTCACCATTGGAATCCTACATTATTCCTAATGAACATAGGCTGTAATATTTAATAAGAGAGAAAAAAGATGTGTGAAAAAAATACCAAAAATCTACCAAATATTGCTTATGCTGTGGTAATTATATACAATAGAGCAAAGTGATGTACTACAATCTTATAAAGGACATATTTATTCCTTAATAACTTACCGCCCGGAGGACACGGTGGCGGGGTGTGCCCTGCGTGGGCGGAGCACCGCCGTGTCCTCAGGGATGTGTTCGATGACGGCGACCTCTCAAAGAGCCATTAGACCACCCCAGATAGGGCCCAATAAGGCCGACACGATACGGAACCGCGGAGGACTTAACGGGTTACCGGGGCTCCGGCTCGAAAGGCAGGAGTAGGAACGGGGTGGTTTTTAGTTAGTCAGAGCTTGACACTCCCTCCCGCCTCACCCAGGCGGGAGAAGACATTCTATGATTTTTCCCCCTTAAAAAAAACCATCCCTTATTTTACCCCTATGGAGATAGATCACATATTTGCAAGAACGTGATCATTGGACCTTTACTCGGTCGTGCTAGGTACTGTAATGTTTGATCACCGCATGTTCATACTATCCTGCATGGGATTTGAACCAAAGCGAATACAAGGTATTACAAAAAAAGTTGAGATAATTGATAATGTTAAAATTAAATATTGAATATTCATTATTAAATAGCCTAAGCTGGAGTGAAATAGAGCATCTATTATGCTATAGCTTACAGCCTACAAAATTTCCGATTACTATTTATGATTGCAAAAAATATCAATTTGAAATATGTTACGAGGAATCATGATATATATGAAATGAATTATTTTCAGATTCCGTGCTACTACTGATATTTTTTTAAAAGTCCCAGTCAAAGCGCGACCCGGGAATCGAAACTAAGACCCCTTGCCCGGCAGACTCACTTGCATCGACTTGGCCAACAGGTCTGACCCGTTGGCCAAATCGTCGTCACTTTGGTTAATGAGTCTAATCTAAAAACAATAATTTAAAAATAAAATCTATCGCTGATAATCATGCAAAGGAATTCAGTGACGGTGCTAAAAAAACATAACAAATTGTAACATAACAAACATCGTTTATTAAATTAATAACAGTATAATGCTTTCACATTAATCGTCAATGTTCTTCAGGAAGGATACAAACAGCAGTGTGACTAAAATAATTAAAAAGTCAACGGAAACAAGGCGCCTGGTACAACGACATGGAGCATGTGGTAAATCAGTGCTCAATTTATCAATATGCAAATGATACATGCCTTGTAGCGGCCCACAGAGACGTTAATAAACGTTAATAATTCGAGTCTCCAAATAGGCACACTAATATACTAGACTTGTTATTAATGCCAGAAAAAAATAAATTAATATATGTCCACTTAAGCCATTTAAAACCGACGATGCCTTTCAGGATTGTATTACCTCTACATAGTCACAGTTGTCTTCACTCCACTCAGCTAGGTGAATGTCGTTGTGAGCAAATTGATCAGGTAACGCAATATCAAATATTGCAAAATTGTATTGATTCCATTGAGCCTTCTTGACTGAACAATTTAATAATGAAAGCATTCAAGTACCCATTTCGCATAAAATAATCACCAGGAATGTTAACAAAAATTAATTAATAATAGGTACCTCAAGTTAGTAATTATTATGGCAGATGAACTTCCAAAGGCCACCGGCGAAATCTGGCCCAGATATCGTTAGCAAAGAATAGAAATGAAATACTATATTACGTCAAAATCAAAAAATACCTAGCATGTTTATTTACCATCACTGAAAATCACATTTTAATCATTGCCTAATCCCCAAAAGAACGGTAACGCACCTGTAACGCCTCTGGTGTTCCAGGTGTCCATGGGCGACGCCGATTGCTTACCATCAGGTGATCCGTCTGCTCGTTTACCGGCTTATGCCATAAAAAAAGAAATTGCCGAATGGATAATAAAAAATAAAAGTTGCTAAAATAAAGAAGTTATTTATAGAAACTACTAATTCCACTAATAACCAATCACGAATGCAAATGATAAGTTGACAACTCAATGTCAAGAGATAAAATAGTAAGAATATAAAAAAAGTATTCAATGTTGATATACCTGATATTATTATCATTTTAGATTTAGAAGAAATCATTATAATAAATGTACTTAATTATTTTGCATTATTACGTATTACAATATTTCTCAAAAACCATATTTTTTCTTTTCAATTTTTTTTCCACGTAATTTTGTGAAAACTTACCTACCTTATTATGTTCCAAATATACTGTGATATATGTAATTGATTTAAAATATATATTTGTTCGACTTATTTTAACTTAATATCAAAAAGTACCTTTATTTTTAATCGAAAATAGTCGCGTCAAAATATCAGCTTTTTAAAAAAAAAACAAAATAACACATGTTACAAAAAATATACATTACTATAGAAAACCTTCTCAAAAAATGCAAATTTTTTTAATGCTTATTTACATTTTTGACCTAATTATTTAAATTTACATTTTAATTACTCAAAGAATATAAAATTTCATTAATTAACGAAAAAATTTAAAATTGAAATATTCTACTATAATTAACAAACAAATCAGTTAATTTCTTTCTTTATTGAAACAAAGAGTTTCCTTTTCTTGTATAGAAGCACTATTTTTATGGATTGTCTGTGAGCACCTTGTTAGATTTTTTATTTTTTTATTTTAGTAAAATTTGTAATTAGTACCTATAATGCGTCAAGCATGTCTTTGCATTGTTCTCACATAAACATACAGTATTGGAATATGTATCAGAGACATTGTAGAACATACTTTTTTAAAAAGAGTAACGAATGGAGTTTCTTGCTTGTTCTTCTCCATTCGAATCTACATTTTGGAATGAGCACCTAGCTTCACCTAGCTTCACTGACGGACTGACTGACAGACTGTTATTTATTTTGTATTTGTTGACTTTTAAAAGTACCAAATTATTGTTTAATTGAAATAAATTCAAATTTAAATTCAAATTCAAATTCAAATGCTTTGACTTTGACTTTGAGTGACCATTGAGTACATTATAGCCCATTAATCAATGACATTTCGCAAACGAAATTAACTCTAAAAATAGAAATATAAAAATACTACGACGGTTACATAAATAACATGGTCTAAAATTATTCGCAAAACCAATATGTAAAAACCAGCCTGTCACATTTTTTTGTTGACGAGAGCCGGTTGTGTATTTAGAAGTTAGACATACATACATAATTGGGTAGTTTACAGGGTATCAAAATTAAAAATCTAATTAGTCCGTCAGTTAGATAATAAAAAAATATTAGACACGTATTTTTTATTTTCTCGTATTAAGTTGCAATACTTAGATAAAATGGCGGTAAGTTTAGGAGTGGGAGGTTGTTTCGTCATAACGTGCTATAAAATGTGGCACAATGTGACGTCACACGATATTTCAAATTAATATATCGTCGAAAGTATTTAATTTTGTGAGAAAAGAAAAAATACGTGTCTAAAGTTTTAAATTAATGTACTAGACGGACATGAAAATAAAATTTAGGAAACTACCCTATTTCACGCCTGTCTTCCATGGGGGTAGGCAGACATTTTTTTTTCCTTTTTAAAGGGGGCAAATCATCGAATGACTTCTCCCGCCTAGGTGAGGCTGGAGGGAGTGTCAGACTCTTACTAACTAAAAACCACCCCGTTCCTACTCTTGTACTTAGAGCCGGAGCCCCAGTAACCCGTTAAGTTCTCCGCGGGACTATGGAACGCCATCAACGTCGTCATCAACACGGTATGATAATATTACCGTGACTTAGACAAGACATAATACGAATGTAGCATAATGTGGGGAAAGACTGCTTTGTTTAAGAAGTAACTGCAATTTTAATAGGTACGTATATGGTTTGATCATGGAGGATACCTAATTTTACTTTCAAAATACCTAACTATTCAAATATTTAAATAAAATATCTAAAATTAGCTCGCGAGGTTATCGACATTTGGAGTGTAGATTCTAGTAGGCTTAGTCGTCAGTCGTGTCGGCCAATGGGTTAATTTCTTATAACCTCGGCATCCATCTTAGGAGGCTGGCGTTGGGTGGATAGGTCGAGGACCTGATACAGGAGGCAGTGCTTCTTGAAACAGCACGTATCGTGAGGAGGTTTCTGTCTCTGCAGCCCCAACCACCGGTAGCTTGGTTAACTCCCGCTACTGATCAGCTCATCCTTACTATATATATAATATTATAAATCGGAAAGTGAGTTTGTTTGTTTGTTCCGCTTTCACGCCGTAACTACTAAACCGATTGCTTTGAATTTTTGCAGATGTAAAGTTAGAAGTCCGGATTAAATAATAGGGTACTTTTTATCCCGGAAAAATTTGATATTTCCGAGGGAAAACAAAAATATTGCTATAGATGGCGCTGTGTGTATTGGTATATGTCACATAGGCTACTTTTTATCCTTTTGTGACGCAGGCGAAGCCGCGGGTAAAAGCTAGTATTTTTATTAAGTCGTACTTCAAAATGTAATTTATAGGGAATTTTAAATAATAAATAAATAATATAAATAATGTTTTATTTACATCTAGATACAACTATTTATTTAACAACACTTAAACAAATAGGACCCAACATTTTTATAAACTTGGTATCCCACAACATATTTACATACTAGTTACATTTTTTCTGTGTCATGGATACAATATACATTACAAACATATACAAAGTCGTATACACAATTACGATGATGCGTAATAGGGATGATGACAAGGTATGAAAATTAAAAATGTAATTAGTCCGTCAGTTAGATAATGAAAAAACATCAGACACGTATTTTATTTTGTTGTATAATAAAATGATACTTAGATATAATGAATCAAAGTTATAAGTAAAACGTTATTTCTACGTATAAAATGTACATAGAAGTGACGTCACGCGACATTTCAAATCAATATATCATCGAAAGTATTCGTAGCTGTAAAAAAAATTAAAAAATTAATACGTGAGTGATGTTTTAAAAGAATCTACCAGACGGACATTAAAATAAAAATTAGTCATCTACCCTGTTGTCTATACAAAGTTAAACTAATGTGGGTGATCACAACCAGAGAGCTTAGGTTTACAATTAACGAGATTGAAATGTTACCACGTTCGGAGCTCTGATTGGCCAGCTCCAATAAACTAACCAATTATAGAGCTACTAGCGGACCCGGCAGACGTTGCTCTGCCTATCCACTTAAATGTATAAACAAAAATTCATTCAAATTAGTTCAGCCGTTTAGGATAACTAACCTAGACCTCAACTGCAGAGCCATCTACCGGGCTGGTTTGTGAATCTAAACCATTCCCAGAACCCCTTAAACACACACAAAAAATTTCATCAAAATCGGTCAAGTCGTTTGAGAGAAGTTCAGTGACATACACACTCACAGAAGAATTATATAGAGGTACATATGTAAAGATGTGGTAACGGTTCGATTTCATCAAACGTATCAAACTCATACTAGGTCTTCTTATCCGACCCAACCGTTGTTCGTTCGCTACATCTTTTTTTTTCGAAGATTATGTTCTTTTTGTATATGTAATTCGATGACCCTTCGTCGGTTGCAGTACAACTTCATATTGAAATTTCAACCTACTAAGATCACTGTGCACGTGGTACTGGTTTACTATATGTCCTATTACTGTTTTCATCACCATCATGGCATATTGTTTACCTGAAAAACAAAAATAGTGTTAACAATTTTTAAGTGATATTTTCATGCCATGCACAGTCAGACACAATCACATTCGGTGACATAGAGTGACAAATGCAACCAAAAAATAAAAAAAAAACAATTAGGGACGTATCTGAACCTCATTCATGTCAATTTTATTTTATGTAACTTATTGTTAGTTATGTCTTCATATTTTAATACCTATATAATGTTTTTATCTTCTATCTGTATTGAAAATAATTTCCCTGACCATTCAAATTCAAATTCAAATTAAAATTCTTTATTGCGTTCCACAATGTTTTACAGAACGCATATACATCCAAGGTATTTTTTTTCTTTTTTTTTTATAAAACGTTGCCCCACTATAGGATTTTCTTCTGTGTCGTGGGTGCGTTTACAAACATACAATATCACATACATACATATTACATATGACACCCAGACCCGGAATAACAATCTGTGGATCACACAAAGAGTTGTTCCGAGCGGGAATCGGACTCGCGACACGTTGCGCGGCAGCCAGTTGCCCAGCCACCCCGCACACCGTGCAGTCAGTCACCGTTTTGACGGTATGTCGTCGGATGTGAAGTTTTGAACCTTAAATCTTAGTCGACAATAACCATTTACGTCCTAGTATGATGGAAGGGACTTTGTCCAGCAGTGGAGTCTTTCAGCTGTTGATGATGATGGAAGGGAGGACTCATTGTTTAGACCAGTATTGAATAAGAAATTTATTTACCTATACAATATCTTTTGCCTACACCAAAGGCAACGAAAGCATTTGGGTGGTTCGGCAGCCGAGCAGGATCGAGCCATCTATCTGGTATGAACTGATCAGCGTCCTTTCCCCACATAGGGTGACGATGGATGCCATACAATGAAATTGCACACGTACTACCAGCCGGTAAGGTATATTTTCCTGAAAGAACATAATTATTTTTATACTTATTGCTTTATAAGTTTTCGTGTGCCTGTTTGTGTTTTTTTTATTCTAACAATTTTTATTTGTATCCGTTCATCACGGCGACTTTGAGAGAGATATAAACAAATGTATAATTCATGAAGGTTTGACCTTGACCAATACTGCGGATGGATAGCTAGTTTTAAAAAGGGTATAGGTTATTTCTCTGTTGGTTCACTGACCAATACTGTTGGACAGTAACGGCAGTCACTTCAAAAACTGTAAAAATGAAACTTAATTACCATGACAAATCTATCACTTTTATAGCTAAGTAACAGAAGACAAAAGAACAACATTAAAAATAGTTGACTTGTCTTTGCGTAGTAGTACAAAGGTTTATACAAGGTGTAGTTTTGAAGCCGTGTCATTTCTCGGGGGCATGTCACAGAAGTCATAAAAGTTCAATGTAAGAAAAAGTTTCGGGCCAATACTTAAAAATACGGCTATAATAAATCGTTTAAGTTCGAGAGTATTTCAGAATAAGTGACAGCAATGTTTCTAATTGGAGTTTTATGGAATTAGGAATAATATCAATTACGTGTTTGATTTTGTGTGTGTTAAGCCGCGTTATAAAGCTAGTTACAAGACGGCGGCGTGTAGTTCGCACTTACGGTTTTCCGTAATTTACAGAAAAGTGAAAAATATTTACCTACAATTTTTTTTATTGATTTGGACTCAGAATTGATAGCCGATTTACTTCCTAGAAAATGACGCGGGTTTAAAACAATACCTTGTATATTGCTAGTGTTTTTTTTAATAAATTCTGTACATATAAAGTCATCCATTACTTTACGTACCTAATGCGATATCTCTGTTAACTGTGCGACCGATGTACGGCACAGTTGGGTACAACCTCAACGTTTCTTTGATCACCGCTTCCAAATACACTAGTTTTGGCAAATCATTCTTTGTGAAATCTCTGTCTTCATTATTTAACACTTCTTGTATTCTGTAATATAACATTTATAAATAGAAAAGTTCATAGAGGTATAGAATAGAATAGAATAGTTATTTATTTGCTCAGAATGCAGGTATTTACAATAAGGTGATATTAAAACACTAATAAGATGTCCTTGTACATTCTACCATTTTTGGCATGCAAACATTGATACAAGTTCATTATCAGACATATTCTGACACAGTTACAATTTATCAGCTAAATAATCAGACGTAGTTAATACATGTCATGGTGACCCGGAGGTTTAAGACGCCGGCTTCTCATGCATATGGGCGCGGGTATGAAACCTGCCAACGGCAAGTATCAATGTGACTTTTTCCGAGTTATATGCACTTTCTAAGATTATCGGACACCACTGACAAACAGTGAAGGAAACTATCGTGAGGAAACCTGAGCTTATAATTTATAATTATAAGTTTGAAGTCGCCAATCCGCATTGATCGAGCGTGGTGATTAATGCTCAAGCCTTCTCCGTGTGAAAAGAGGCATTTGCACTTATAGGCTGTTGATGTGTGTGTGTGTGTGTGTGGAGTTGATACTCCTATTATATTATAGAATATTTTTATCGGCAGTTCAGAGCCTGAACTCCTCAAACCTCCTTTGTATTTGTTTATCAAAAGTCAAAAAAAAAAGTCAAAAAGTTTCTTACAGTACATAATGTAGATGAAAGTTAGAAGGCCGTAATTACCAGGTAGTTTAGCAATGGCGAATGATTTAAAAAAAATTAGTGGACCCTGATATCAGTCGTAGAGGCTGATTGCTGTTTAAAAACTTAAATATCAGGGTCATTCATCAACAGCCTACCTCTATAAATGCCCACTGCTGAGCAAAGCCTCTTCTCACACGGAGAAGGTTAGAGCATTAATCACCACGCTTGCTCAATGCGGGTTGGCGATTTCAAACTTGTAATTAGAAATTATAAGCCCAGGTTTCCTCACGATGTTTTTCCTTCACCGTTTGTCAGTGGTGTCTAAATAATCTTAGAAAGTATATTATATAACTTGGAAAAAGTCACATTGGTACTTGACGTTGGTAGGTTTCGAACCCGCACCCTCATGCATGAGAAGCAGGCGTCTTAAACCTCCGAGCCACCACGACACACACAGGGTCATTACTTATAATGATATATCTTAATACATACTCATTGTAAATCCGTTCCTGTACATCCTTATGCCAACCAATCATCATCAATATGAGTGTGAGCGATACTGTAGTAGTGTCGTAAGCAGCAATCACAAAAGTGTTCAAGTGTTCCCGTATCTCGGTGTCAGTGAAAGCATTTTGTTCATCGGCTAGATGTAATAGACGATTCAGCACAGGTTGGAATTTATCTGTAATATAATGAAAGAAACGGTAAAATAATTTATTTAATAAAAGTCAATCTAAGGAAGCATTTTGTTTAGGAAATAGAAGATAAACATTCGATAAGGGCTACGTATTATTATAATGCAACCGAAAAGGCAATAAACAATAGTGTGTCCTTCGTGAGTATCGAAACGTGTGACCTGTAAGTTAAATGGACCGAAGAAAAAAAATGTAAGTATATGTAAATTAATTTATTATTTGTCATTCAAATTTTTACATAAATTATGCGCGCGAACAATATGTCGAAAATAGTAAATTTTATTTATTAGATTTATTGGTTAGACAATATCCATAGGTACCTACTTAATATTATAAGTTCGATGTTGTGTCTAATTGTCTATTCATTTGTTCATTTTTCACGGCAAAATAGAGCAATGAATTGACGTGGTTTTTAACTGAACACTGTTAATAAAAGGATGGAGAGTGACATCGAATACTTTTATCTCTTTCTAACACCCCATTTTCCCCTAAAATGAGGGGTAGAGGTTTGTATAGAGCATTCTGCAATTTTTTTTAACGCACAAAGAAAACACGCACAATTTCGTTTGTGAATCTGTCCCCAACATTTTGGAAACGTGCGTGTGAAGCCGTGAGCAGAAAGCTATTGATAATATAATTTATTAATAATGTGTAGTGTGTCGAGAGCGATAGATACATAGTTAATTTGCATTCTAAAACAAAATGTGGGAGAGCCACGCTTTGGCACGAATGGGCCAGCTGCGAGGCCGGAGTGATACCCTGGCCTCACAGAAAACCGACGTGAAGCAACGCTTGCGTTGTGTTTCATCGTGTGAGTGAAGTATCCGGTGGTCTAATTCCCCCCTTCCCCCCTTCCCCAATCTCTCCAATATGTTCAATGTGTACCTATGGTGTTCCAGGTGTCCATGGACGACGCCTATTGCTTGCCATAAGGTGATGTCTGCTCGTTTACCTGATTATGCCATAAAAAAAACTGAGGCAACTTTTTTTTTATATAAAAAGAATAGAATATTTTATTTCCACTTACAAAGAAGAAAATTTATTTAAATGTCCATTCGATTTTATATTCACTCATTATAATTCAATTGTATAAACTAATTCACTCGTATATTTTTTTATGTATCGTAATTTGTATGTTAAGTATTCAATTCTAATACTTATACAACTGTTTGACCTTACAAGTAAATTTGAATACATATGTAATTCAACAGTACTTGCGTATTACGATGCAATTTTTTGCAAACAAATTTATTTATATACCTCTAAATTTACACTCACGACACGGTTGAAAAAATCAATTACAATAACTGGACACACTAACAGACTAATAATAAATAAACTAATGGAATGTAGATTCGGCTATCATTGTGCCGATAGTCGTGTCGGCCAATGGGTTAATCCCTAATAGCCTCGACAACCACCTTAGGAGGCTAGCGTTAGGCAGTTGGGTCAAAGGCCTGATACAGAAGGCAGTTCTCCTTGAAACGGCGCGCATTGTGAGGAGGTTTCTGTCTCTGGAGCCCTAACCACCGGTAGCTTGGACCATGCTCCCACTATTGGTCGGCTCCTATTTTTATATTCAATTTTTTATTCTGTAGTATTTAAAAATGTAACTTCAGAGAAGTTTTAAATGAGTATATGGAAAGAAAAAATAAACTAATAATATTTATAATAACCAGATTCGAACCACAGAGGGGTTCTTCCTCATGAGCAGCGTGCGCGGTCGCGGCGATGTCGCACAGCTCACTCTTAAACCAGTAGAGGTTTTCTCAGTATATTCACGTCAGTAATCCGCGATTTTAGTTAAACTAATGATATAATAATGAAATTATATTGTATGTATAATAAGTTTATGGATCCATTGTCAACATAACAAAAAAAAACATAACTTCACGCCTTATATCCGCGAAGGGCAGAGGTGCACATTACGGCACTTAATGCCACTCTACAATGTAACACCCACTTTTCACTATTTATGTTATCAGTCCCATGTAATAGGAGGTGAGCCTATTGCCATATACCAGGCACATTTCCAGACTCTGTGTTACTACTGAGATTTATTAAGCAGCTCAGTAATACTTTGCCCGATCCGGGAATCGAAACCGAAACCCCTTGCCTGGCAGTCGCACTTGCGAACACTCGGCCAACGAGATAAGATCCATTATCATCCTAACTATTTATGTTATTATTACTTATCAGCACAATATTAAAGTCTGTAAATAGCATTATAAGAACTCAAATTTAATATCAAATGCTCCTAAGACGAATGCATGCATTCGTCAAAAACTATAAGTGGATTTAACGTTGCCGCTTCGTGGAAAGTTCTCATTGATTCTAAGCATGATGCAAGCATTTGTCATTAGTAGTCCACCAATAATTTGTGAAGGATGCATGCAATCGTCAAATGTCGCGATGTGGACAGTTACCATAACACTCGGATCATGCAAAATATGTTTGAGAATCTGAATTCTAAATTCTGTTCCATTAGATACAATTTATTTTAACACAAATCCAAATACCTATCGAGACAGATACCTTCTACTCAGTATTTAAACCTAATTAAGATCACTCAAACATTGTACTACGTACCATCATTTTCGTTGTTGATGTACGAATTCATCTTCATTTCTAATCTCCTTTTTTGTATTATCTGGAAAAAATATCACAAAACTTTAGTCGCAATTTAAGTCATAAAAGTTTTTATGGGACAAGCCCGCCACAACCTCCCAAAACCGCTGCAACTCCTGTTAGCCAGCATCTTCAGTAGATACAAACATGAAAACACCGGAACACCGAAATCCGGCGCGTCCCAGGGATATGAATAACTGTCTTGGTTCCCGCATCAGAAGATATTATAAGAGGAGAAGAAAAAAAAACGATTAATTTCCACTTCCCTCGGTGAATTACTGCAGGAGACATAATGAATTAAGCCTAAAGGCACAAAAAAGAGACTGTACAACTGGGTGAAGCTCAATCGCCAAGCACCATGGAAATTTGACTTAAAACTAAGTGGTGAAACGTCATAATAGTTGCGTAATTAATACAAATGGTATGTTACTTAGCGTAGGAGAAATAATCAAAACCTCGTCACGCAGAAAATTTTTAAATCAAAAGACCCGGTTAATTGAATGTATGATAATTAGTAATTCAGGCTTTGACCTCAACCATCTCAGTCGTGATCGAAGACAAACAAATAAACACGTTTCAAAATACCACGTATTTCTACTAACTCTAGCTAAAAAAGTGTAATATTTTTAGCAGCACTTACGGGGGTAAGAATATTTTTCACTGTTTCCGTAAGTTTGTCCTGTTTACGCTTTAATGCACTTCTTTTAAAGAAGAAAGGTAAGTGCAGCCAAGGTTTCGTCGCCCTCTGGTAGTATAATACCGATAAAAGTTCAAATGCGTGCGCATAATCCTTCTCGACTAAAGTTTGATCTTCTGCATTTAATCCTAAAGTAGTCCCTGCAACAGAATGGATTCTTTTTAAGATAAAAGACACAAGAGGGACGGATCACCTGTAATACACCAAACATATTTGAGAGTGCCAAGAAGTTCAACCACGATGATGCGCTAGTGGAGGCCCGGATTCAAAGCCCCGAACACAGGCGTAAGGTTGCAAGCCTTTCAATGTTTTACCGGATCCATTTCCATGAGAATGCAGGGCAATTGCACATTTTGATTCCCCTTAATCATTTCCATCATCGTACAATAAGACAATCGGCGAAATGTCACCGATTCATAATAAATCTCCCACCACACCCACACGTACCGAAGACGCGCTTCGCATCAAGCTACCTTATGCGTACTGCTAAGGTGTGGAATTCTTTGCCAGAGTCTGTGTTTCTTGAAGGGTATACCTGGGTGTCTTTAAGGCCAAGGTTGCTTATGGGCAGACATACTCCTCCGTAGGCCGCATCATCGCTTACCATCAGGCGAGAAACACTTGTAATACCAGGGGAGTTATGCAAGCAGTATAGACTTTTTTGGTCGAGAGATTTAGTAATCTCAGTCACAATCATGAACCGTTGTATCACTCTGGTTGACTATGCGTGTAGAGGTTTTGTTTTAAAGGGTGAAAATCATCCAATGACTTCGACGACTTTAGATGAGGCAAGGGAGAGTGGCAGACTCTTACTGACTAAAAACCTCATACTTCTCATCATACTCATTCTTCTCATTCAACTCATTCTTCTCATCGTACTAGTTCTTACTCATTTATACAGTGATATGGTTGCCCTTCATGGCATCAAACAAAATATATCCATAAGGAAAGAATAGTGCCTGTAATAAATATTTGAAGACCTAATGAAAATCCTTTTCTTTACTCAATATTTATGTACTTACGACTAGTAATATTCATTGTATATCTGACAAGAGGTTTGCGCATATTTACTGATTTTCCAAGCGTAGTAGATAATTCAGAGACCAGCCGTTTTGCTTGCACATTCATTTCATCTATAAAATTGTTTAAATTTTGTTGATTGAACGCTGGATTTATTAACTTTCGGTGTATTTTCCAAGTTTGGGCTGTAAGAAAAATTATTTTATTAATATCTAATAGCCACAGATATTATGTTTTAAGAAGTTGACCAGAGTAAGTTTTTGTAATGAAACAATTCGATACTCTATTCAACTCTACTATTAAACTTTTTGTTAAGTACTGCTATAGCATCTGTTGCATACGATTTTGAGCAGAAGTCAACGAAAAGTTACCTGCAGTATTATCAGCAGGGTATAAGCTATAGCAGTGCCATTTATTCATTCTATTACATGGCTGAACTATCCATTAAGAATAAATGATGACTTGTTATTAAATCTGTCAATTTATGTAATTGAAGTTCGTTACAATTTAAGAATGCAAATCTCGTGAGATTAGGATTCAAACAAGATCTTGCAAGATTAATTATTAACACAATCTTGCGAGACCTCGAAATTGGCGAGATCTCGCGAGATTGAAAGAAAGAAAAACATTTATTTAGCACCAGGCACGATGCAGCATAAATAAAAAATAAAAAAGACAATCAAGATGTGACAGTGGAAGTGATAAAAATATAAGAGTTGAAAAATTGAAACAGAAGAATTAGAAAAGAGACGCTGACAACATGCCTATGCTAAAAGGGTAATCTTGCAAGATTGGAATCTTGTAAGATTATAAAATCATGTTCTAACTAATTAGAGAAACACATTACCTTCAGACGTAATGAGTCCATTAGCCACAAGATCATCAGTGAAATGGTAGAAGTACATTTTGTTCAAGCAAATATTGTACGCCATGAGACTGAGATCCGGATCCGTAAGTACTAAAACAAAATCATTAATAACAGGTTTATTATTCAACATCAGATACTTACATTGATGATAATGTAACGACCACTTTTCTCCGGTTATGTTAAATATTTTTCCAATATAAGTCAAGAAATACGATTTATCACATATTTATCACGTTGTTGGAATTTATGAATGTTATTACGAAAATCGGAAAACTGAAATACTTCTTTCTTCGGTTGAGTAAGATGGCTTTTCCACTAATTCACAAGAAAGTGAGAAAAACAAATATAGGTTAAGGAACAAATGAGGTGACATAGTAAGTTGTGGCCCATAGGTTTAAGACGCCCGCTTCTCATACACGAGGACGCGAGTTCGAAAAGTATTAACGGTAAGTATCAATGTGACCTTTTCAGAGTTATATGTACTTTCTAAGATTATTTAGACTCCACTGACAAATGGTTAAGGAAAAGATCGTGAGGAAACCTGGGCCCCAAAATTCTAATTATAAGTTTGAAATTGCCAACCCGCATTGAGCAAGCGTGGTGATTAATGCTCAAACCTTCTACGTGTGAGAAGAGGCATTTTATCAGCAGTGGATACTCATAGATTGTTGATGTATGATTTTTACTTGAATCATTGCGATCATTTTATTGTTTGGTGAAAGTTAAATAGAGTAATAATGAAACTGATCACATATCAAAGGATATTACTTTTGTGAAAGATAAAATTAATGATGTAGCTGCCTTACTTACTGTATGCGTTATATTCACAAATTTTTATAATTGAAATTCCTCCATTATTCAATGTAAATAAACTTGTTTGTTCCAATATATTCCATATTTCTGAAAAGTAAGATAAACTTATTACATCATAGATAGGAATAGAGTAGTTTCCTAAATTTTATTTTAATGTCTTGTAGATTAATTTAAAACTTTAGAGACGTATTTTTTATTTTCTCACAAAATTAAATCCTTTCGACGATATATTAATTTGAAATATCGTGAGACGTCACAGCGTGTCACATTTTGTAGCACGTTATGACGTAACGACCTCCCACTCTTAAACTTAGCGCCATTTTATCTAAGTATTGCAACTTAATACGAGAAAATAAAAAATACGTCTCTAATATTTTTTCATTATCTAACTGACGGACTAATTAGATATTTAATTTTGATACCCTGGATACTACCCAATTATCAAGAAAAGATAACAATAATCAAGAAATTTCGCCTCTATAAAAATTCGAATTCGATTCCTCTATCTATACGAAATTTTGCCTCAAAAGACTAATTAATGACTAGTAGTAGTACTAGTAGTAGTCACAAATATTTCAGTTAGCTAAAATGAATGTCAACATTTTGAAAGTTCAAAGACACATCCACGTCACACACGTGTTTACAAATTGTAATACAAGTACATGTAGGGACATAAGAACATCGACTTATTTAAATTCTAATTTACTCATAAGACTTTTAAGTACGATAGTAGAAAATTATTGAAAACTAGCTTCTGCCCGTGACTTCATACGCGCAATCCCGTTTTCTCCCGTTCCCATAGGATATTCAGGATTTTTTCTATCATAAGAACCTTCTCCTGACAATAAAAAACACAACAAAAAAAAAATCAGCCAAATCGGTCTAGCCGTTCTCAAGTTATGGCGTGACAACGGGAAACGGGTTTCATTATTATACATGTAGATTAAAAAGTATGATAAAGGTAAATAAACTAGGTTTAAGAGGAATCGCAGAATTGGGAACATACCAACTAGTAAAATTCAATACTTTATTCGAACTGTCAAAAACAACAGCTTTCTATGAATTTTGTACGAGATTTTATATTGTGACGTCACGAGTTTTTAGCATCAAACATCACACTTATTTCTTAAAAATTAGCTGGAAAATACTAAAATTAAGTTGATCATAAAATATATTAATGAAAGTGTGATTATTTTTTAATATTTTATTGTATTGAACAGTCAAAATAATTTACTTTTAATTATGGAGCATGAAAGCATGCTTCAATTGAGTACTTGCCTTAATAAAAAAATCAAGACAATAATATATAAATAAACTAGCGGACCCGACAGACGTTGTCCTGTAATAATAGGTATAGATAAATAACCTAGAAACTGACTGCAGCGCCATCTGCCGGGCTGATTTGTGAATCAATGTGAATGTAAACCATTCCCCTTGAACACACACAAAAAATTTCATCAAAATCGGTCCAGTCGTTTGAGAGAAGTTCAGTGACATATACACTCACAGAAGAATTATATAAATAAAGATAATCACACTTTCATTAATTTTTTTATGACCAACTTAATTTTACTATATTTTCAGCATTTTTTAAGAAATAAGTATGCTGTTTGACGCTATAAAAACGTGACGTCACAACACAATCTCGTACAAAATTCATAAAAAAACTGTCGTTTTTGAGAGTTCGAAACAAAACTTGAATTTGACTAGTTGGCAAATACCCATTATAAAGTTTTTTAGGCATTTGGAGTTATAATTTCAAATTACCAGTATGAAATCGTCAATCAACCTTGAGCAAACGTGATGATTAATTCACATACCTTCTTCGTATAGAATGAGAGGTTCGCTCAGTATTAGGACACTGATAACAATGATTTTAACTAATACTTTATTTTACACCAAAGTAATTCAATGAATAAAAAATTTTTGTTACTTTAGATTTCATTTTAGTGTTTTTTCCGCATAACTTATTTCTATCCTCATAAATGGATCATCGACTACTTACATATGATCGAAATTAAATACAACGACTAGAAGAAATGTAAAAAATCCCTAGTATAATTTGCTCATTTTTATACTTACTTTCGAATTCAGTGAAGTGATGCGTATGTCCTATAAGTGGAAGAGCCCCGGGGACCACTGGAGGCATTAGGTTCTTCGACCTAACCCTCCGCCACACACTGAGTACCACCAAACATACCACAAACACTAACACTAACATTTTTACACGAAACCAATTAAATGTATATTCATTACTACAGCATTCAGTCCTTTATATACCAGTCTTGAATTCGCTATGAAAATTAGGTGACTAAGTTGTAATGAATTACAAAGCAAATACGTATGTCTGAGTGTTACACACGTTTTGATATTTTTTCGCTCAGAAATGAGCCTAATTTGAAAATTTAAAACGCCCACTAACTGTTTTAGTAGAAAGACGATTCAAGAACACACACCGGCCTTTTATACATAAAATCACGTGTGTATTTTCCAAAAGTGTTTAACACAACGACCGTATTGCTTGTAAATTATTTGACGTCTACGCGATGGGTGATCCTCTGTTGATGTTTTGTGGGTAAAATTCCCGCAGGTGAGAATCTATATAATTATTTGAATAATACACAAAATTCCTTACGGTTTCTGGGTCTGGGTGTGATGTGCATGCGAAATCATGTAGCCACGGTACAGGCAAAATTGTAGTGAAGGTTTTCAAAATCATATAAAAAAGAGGTTCACATAATGGCTACACAACACTTTGATGCCGTTCATCGAGCCAGTTTCAGATACTATAGTTATTACTTATTAGTCAAGTTCTGGGTTTTATTTGTAATGGAATAAACTGGTAAACGAGCAGACGGAACACCTGATGGTAAGCAATCGCCACCGCCCATGGACACTGGAAACACCAGAGGTGTTACAGGTGTATTACCGGCCTTTTAGGGATTAGGAATTTGAGGATTGTTGGGGATTCGAGGATTCGGGAGATTGGGAAATTGGGGAGGAGGGCTACTGGGTCTCCGGTAACCTCAATCACACGACGAAATAACGCAAGTGTTGTTTCACGTCGGTTTTCTGTGCCGTGGTGTCACTCCGGTAGAGCCGGCCCATTCGTGCCGAAGCATGGATCTCCCATTCTTGGTATTATTTAACTAAAAAGTCTTAAGTTCTTTACTATTCATTTCTGGGGCAATGCTTTGCGAGTCACATTTATTACGTCATACATCTTAATGTATAACAGGTCTTAGTTATTAATCAGGTTTGGTTAATCAGTATTTTTACATGAAAGTATTCTCGCCTGCTAAGAGAAGTCGGCTGCTCCTGAGTAATGAGAAAAATTCTATGGTACTTAATTTACTTTGTCGGCTGGAAAGTGATACGTTACTCCCCAGTTTTTTTGGCGAAGCCGCGCGCTAAGAGCTAGTCATACAACAAAAACAAGGCGTGCATCTTTACCTACCTCTATGCAAACTAAGGTATGTTGTTACATCACCAAATTTGTTATTCAAATGTATAGTTTTTTTTGTTTTTTTTTTAATTTTGTTTCTTTATTGTATTAATTTTTATTTCTTGTATTTGATTACCTAATTAGTTCGTTTTTAAGTACCTAAATAATAGCATTTATATAAGATTAACAGTATAACTTAATGGCGTAAGCTGTGGTGTTATATATGTACATTTTCAAATAAATAAATCACAGCACGTGTTTACATTCAATCATGAATATTCTCCATTATAAGGTCTATAAGTACGTATTAATTACAATTATTTTTGGACGACCCTCTCGACATTACCATTCACGTGTGTCTATCGGTTAAATATTCCTTATTCAATCATTTATTTATGTGTGAATGTATATTATTTGTTATCGTCTACATATATTCTTAGTATTTCAAATACAAATTTTACATCATTACGTTTCTATAGAAATATTTGAAAAGAGATTGTGTGAGAGTCCACCTGTGCTCGGAGCTGCGTATGACTTCGCTAGATCATCCGCAACCGAATTGATCACTGAATTATCCCCTGATCTTCCAGTGAAAAGTGAAGAACTTATGCATCAGGCTGGAGCCCTAGCCTGATGCAGAAGTTTCTACTTAAAAAAAAACTTTATTCCTATGGAGTGTCGCGGAGAACCTAACGGGTAACCGGGGCTCCGGCTCGACGTGCAGGAGAAGGAACGGGGTGGTTATTAGTCAGCAAGAGTCTGACACTCCTTCCAGCCTCACCCAGACGGGAGAAGTCATTCGATGATTTTCCCCCCTTAAAAAAAATGGGGTCGTTTTTTGTCAATAAGAGTCTGACACTCCCTCTTTCAAGATGGGAGAAGTCATTAGAAGATTCTTCCCCAGCCCTCAAAGTCCATCTATACAAAACCAATTCAGAATACATTGCAGCCTGCCAACTTTCTTCTTGATTTTTGACCACGATTACTGTACTAGGTTCTACCAGGGTCGCCCGGGTTCCCGTGGGGTGAAAAGTGGCATGTGTTATTCCAGATCAAAATTAAAGCTATTAAAAATTTTTGTCTCAGTTTTTGTAAAAGTCTTTGAAGTCTGTGTTAAACTACAAAATAAAATGTTTTGTTTTTACTTTATTCTGAAGTAGGTACATTTTTGTTTGTCATCGACTATTGTAACTGTCTGGTTTTTTCATGTTTCTTAATTGATGTTTTTTAATGTGATGTTTATTTATATGCTTTTTTTTTCTTTTTCTGTTATTGTAACTGTTTGATTTCTCTTTGCGTGTGTGTTAATGTAGTTGGTGTGAAGCCGTGTTAACATCACAAGAATAATAAATAAATAATCTATCCCTGTTCCAAACTTCAGCCGGTTTGACGTGACGTCATCCTCACAAACTTTCGCATTTATAATATTAGTAGATTTGTCCTAAATTTTGCACATCTATACTAATATTATAAAGAGGAAAGATTTGTACCTATTTTTGTATGTTTGTAATGAATAGGCTCAAAAAGTACTGGGCCGATTTATACAATTCTTTCACCAATAGAATGCTACATTCTTCCAATTTGACATAAGCTACATTTCATTTTGAAAAAATTAGGGATCCTTGGTAAAATTTGAACAATGTAACTGAAGGTGTAGAAAAATGAATCTTAAAATGTCTTTCGTCGAATGCGCTGCCGAAACTATTAGCGATAGAACAAAATAATGTACAACAATATTGAAGAACATCATAATGTCTACAAAAAACTCCGCGGTAGCTTATGTTCAACTATTGTAGTTATGTCACTACATCAATCCAAATTTCCAAAAATAAATAATTGTCTACCCCGTGCGAAAAAGGGACGAGCTGCTAGTGTCTTATAATTTGGAGGGCTCTAGGAGAATCAGGAGGCACTAGGTACCAAATCCCTACGCCGATAATCGCCAAACGTAATCCTTACATTGACAATTATTCAATCGTCATATGACCTCGACCAGTTTCAAGTCACGCTAGTAACGCATATTCATGAGTTGCATTGTGTGACTTGGCGAGACGAATGTCGCGCAGCCAACTCTACATAAATAATTAATTTTATATGTATCACAATAGTTAAAATACATAAATGGTAATTTGTAATGACTGCCTCGTTGGACGAGTAGTCGCAAGTGCGACTGCCGGGCAAGGGCTTAAGGATTGGGCAAATTATTACTGGGTTTTTAAAAATCTCAGTAGTAGCACGGAGTCTGGAAATGTGCTCGGTATATGTCAATAGGCTCACCCCCTAGTACAAGGGACTTATAACATAAATAGTGAAAAGTGGGTGTTACATTGTATAGTGGCATTAAGTGCCGTAACAAACATAATTTCACGCCTTTTATCCCCGAAGGGGTAGGCCCTTCGGGGATAAAAGGCGTGAAATTATGTTTTTTTTCTTATGTTGACAATGAATCCCTATCCATAAACTTATTATACCTATAACATATAATATAATATCTTTATTATATCATTCGTTTAACTAAAATAGCGGCTTACTCACGGGATTATACTGAGAAAAGCTCTACTAGTTTAAGTTAAATTATGGTAATTTGTAATTTACAGTGAAACCTGATTAAGTGAGACATCAAGGGACCTGCAATGTCGTTTCACTTATAGAGGTATTCCACTTACCAAGTGTCTCAGATATACAGGTATAAACAAATATCTGTCTCATTTACAGAGGGTTCCATTAATAGAGGTGGATTTGGAATTACGTGTGGAATTTGTGGGTAGAATAAGAACGAGTAAACAAACAATGTTATCTCAGTTACAGAGGTTTATGCATATAAAATTTACTCGCTGTCTCAGTTATAGAGGTAACTATGATGATAAATCGAAAAAACAAATCCCAGATATAGAGGTTTACCTCGTCTCACTGACAGAGGTAATTCAGTGCCAAAGTGTTGGGACCTCAGCATGAGTTCCAGTTATGGAGATTTCTCACTTATCCAGGTCCCACTTAACCAAGTTTCACTGTATATATCGAGAAGTGACCAAAACACTGCATTGATTAAGTACTCTATATATTATTTTTAAACATTTTGAGTTCAGGAACTTGAATATTCTAGGTTTTGTATCTAAGCCATTGACGTATTATGGACAAAAATAGTTATTTCGATTTAGTGACTGTACCTAAATATTTTAGTATGCTGAAGTATTTCTATTTCCTATTTAAATTCTTTCAAGGACTTTCGCAATTATGCAATGTAATCTTTTATTCATACCGTTATATTACATAACTAGCTTCTTCCAGCGGCTTCGCCCGCGTTCCCAGAGGTAAATAGTAGCCTATGTGTTACTCCAGACCATACCTCTGTTCCAAATTTCATCTCAGTCCCTTCAGCCATTTTGATGAGACTGAGTAACAAACATACACAGAAACACACAGACTCACATACCTATTTTCACATTTATAATATCGATTCAAGCTAATTTCAACCATTGGCCCTACAGTTACAGCGTAAAGTCCACTGCGAACAAGCTAACATTTGACAAACTTATATTTGCGTTTGGTAAAGTAATTGTGTCTAGAGATCGAGCCACACAATTATGTTTATTTTTTCAGGTGTATTTTTTCTGTATATAAAGTACCAAGTGTGATACCCAGGATATTAAAGTATAATCATACCAAGTTTCATTTTAATCGGACCGGTAGTTTTTGCGTGATGCGTAAACATACAGACAGACAGACAGGCAGATAGACAGACAAAAATATTTAAAATTACATTTTTCGGTGTCTAT